CAATTGTCATAATGTAAGTGTATAGTACTGTAGGTCAGTGCTGAAGACAGCAATTGTCATAATGTAAGTGTATAGTACTGTAGGTCAGTGCTGAAGACAGCAATTGTCATAATGTAAGTGTATAGTACTGTAGGTCAGTGCTGAAGACAGCAATTGTCATAATGTAAGTGTATAGTACTGTAGGTCAGGGCTGTAAGTGTAGATAATGTATTTGAATTACCACTAAGTACACCTGTTTTATTGTTAGTGTAGTTAATGTATTTGAATTACAACCTAGTACACCTGTTTAACTGTAAGTGTAGATAATGTATTGGAATTACCACCTAGTACATCTGTTTTACTGCAAGTGTAGTTAATGCATTTGAATTACAACCTAGTATACCTGTTTTACTGTAAGTGTAGATAATGTATTTGAATTACAACCTAGTACACCTGTTTTATTGTAAGTGTAGTTAATGTATTTGAATTACCACCTTGTACACCTGTTTTACTGTAAGTGTAGTTAATGTATTTGAATTATAACCTAGTACACCTGTTTTACTGTAAGTGTAGTTAATGTATTTGAATTACCACCTAGTACACCTGTTTTACTGTAAGTATAGTTAATGTATTTGAATTAATACCTGTGGTTGCTACGCTTTTTGGGCCATTATTTCCCTAATCATGACTCAATGTTTTTTATGAATATGTTGTTATCATATTAAACTCATAGGTCTGTACCCTTAGGATCACAAATGTTAAATCATTGGTATGCTTGTCTGGGACATTTTGTCTGGGTACTTTTTGATGAAACTTAATTAAAAAATGTATTATAGCTTAAGGGTCTGTTATGTACTTTCCGTTGGTCTATACACCCACAGTTTAAACATCAGATCATTATAATGATTATCCTTGCCATAACTGCAGAATGGCTGAACAAATTTTAATACAATTACGTCAATGTATCATTACTAGAAAATGTTGAAGTAGGGGACATGATATATGCTTGATGCTATTTACCAAAACCTTTTTGTTTATTCTGTCATTTCTCACAGTGTGACAGAGTACGCCTGATCAAGTTTAAGTTCAAACGAGGTTCTGTCCCTCCTATGGTGCCTACAGAGTAAGTAAGAACTTGAAAACCTGCTATAACATGGCATGATATATAATTGCTAATTGATTCTATTGAACAAATACTTCATTCTTGTTTTTCTTCTTCATTTTCTTCCATGAACTTGTCTACCATAAATTCTTGGATAAAGCCTGTTATGTTAAAATGCCTGCAGACCTAAAAAGATCAAACTTGGGAAAATATAGCTTTCAGATTGCCCACAAGGTTATCTTACATAAAACTATCATATCCAATGTATACCAGGTTCACTTCCAATGACAAGAACATGTCTAAAGAATCATAAGTTCTATAGCCATGATTCTTGGATATATTACATAGACCAGCAATGCACTGCCTCTTCTAATATTGTGTTTAGTTGAAAAAGTCGCTTTGGTTCTTGGCAGAGGCCAAATGTTAGCATGGACTATAAGGGAAAAGTGTAGAGCTACGATGCTCTGATATGTTATGTAGACTACTGGTAATGATCTTTCTTAGCCTTTGGATCGTAACTTGAAAATTGTTGTGATTTTCATCATATAAATGTCTCTGCTTACTGGGCATGAATAAAGGAACACAAGCATGCTACCAGGATTAGCCTCAGGGTCTGGCCCTAATCATTGAGACTTATTCCATGGTCATTATATGAATCTGAACCTGATTTGCTCTGAAGCATGTTTTGGACAAGAGGGACTGGGCCAAAAATGAGAAATATTTTCAATGCTACTTTTGATAAGAATATTTTGTCTGTAGGTACTTGAAAAGTTAGTTGAGACAATAATAATAATAATATTTGTGGTCATCTTATTTCCTGATACAGTATATTTAAATATTTCATCCCCAGGTACTGTGGCTGTATAGGATGTGATGAAACCCTCACTGAGGCCCTGAATCTTAACAGGAACATTGGTGAGTATTAAATATTGTTAGCGAGGTTGACACATGCTGCATGTAAAATATTCTATCCCCTAGCAAATTCAATTTGAATTTATGAATTTAAGACATGTATGTATGGTATGTTGAATGATAGCCCTCCTGTATGAGGACAATATTTTTTCGGTGGTTAAACTAGAGCACCCCAACCCTAGCAACCTTCATTAACAATTATAAATCCCACATATATTTGCTGACGGAACAAAAAAAGACAAAAATAAGAGATTGACATCGGTAGACTGTAGTCTGTGCCTCAAGGAATTTCAGTGTTCCCCACTCGATGTGGTAAGATGAGATCAATATCTGTCAGCTGTGACACACTTTGACAAATAAATAGAATTCATATTAGAAAAATGAATGGAAGGGGATAAATCATAGTTTGACAAACACAGATTATTAGTGATATAACAGTTCGTGTTTTCAATGAAGAGGGTTACGACCAGAACAAATTGAGGGTAATTTGAGTAATGTAAGTTTGAGGCTGTGGGGTTCCACTTTATTTTATTTTTCTACATTGTGTACTACTGCAGGTATATGCTCAAAGAAAAAGTAATGAATTTGATATACATTGTAAACAGTTTCGTGCTCTGAATGTCACTAATCCTGACATTTTGATATTTTTCAGGTTCAAGTCAGAGGCCTGTTCCATCTTCCAACCAGACAAATCTGTCTGATAGTGGTATAGGTTCAACGTACCACTCCCAGTCCCAGGCCAGTGGTAGAACAAACAGCAGGCCGACACAGTCTACCCAGCCTCAGAGGACACAAAATACCTCAATGTCCAACAGTACAAACCAACAGAACAACACAAATAACCAGAGGTACTCCAATACAAATAATAACACCTACAATACCCAGACAGGATATGGCTCCCAGGGAGGTAACTCCCGTGCTCCCTTGGTGCCTGTGATGCCATTCAACACATCTGGTCCTACAGCTGATGGTGGTGGTAATGCCATTGTGTGTTCCTGTGGGGAGGATGCTCTGTTACTGACTGTTCGTAAAGAGGGACCCAATACAGGCAAGTTATCCAAGGATCTGGTTGTCAGGTTTTCAGCTCATCTGACATGAAGTGTCTGTTAGTTTAGGGTATGTAGCAGCATTCATAGTCTGTCTGTCAATCATCTTTTTTTCTTTTATTGCATACTCAGGATCATTATATTTGCCAGTAAGTACCTGGTTTGGAGTGCAGTCAAGTTTCTCATATTAATGACCTCGACCTACTGTCAAGGTCACAGGTGTCAAATATATTGCAACAATATTAGAATATAATGCCATGATTGCTTCAAGGTGAGCAATACAGGCCATCTGTGCCTCTTAGTTTATTATGTCTCCCCCCTCGAAAGAAGGGAGACATATTGTATTGCTAATGGTTCTTCTTCTTCTGGTTCTTTTTCTGGTTCTTTTTCGTCTTCTGGTTCTTCTAATCGCAACTTGTCCGGGTCATAACTTTTAAATCGCTAAAGATATCTTGATGAAACTTTAGGTATGCATGCATCACCCACAGAAGGTGTGCAGTGCACTGGAATTAGGTCACTGTGACCTTTACCTCGAGGTCAAATGTCTAATAAGTGCAACATTTTCAGTAAATTTTTGTCGGGCCAGTAAATTTTAAACCGTTAAAGATATCTTGATCAAACTTTAAGTATACATGCATCACTCACAGAAGGTGTGCAATTAGGTCTTGTGCTTCACTATATACAGAGTTATGGCCCTTTGTTTAATTTTAATACTGAAGTTTGTCCGGAGCATAAGTTCAAAGTTATTTCACCTGCGTTGACCAAACTTACCATATTTATGTTCGGGAAGGTGGTATCCCTCGCACTAAAATCAGGTTTTATGCCCCACTATATACAGAGTTATGGCCCTTTGTTAATTTTTTATACCGAAGTTTGTCTATGGCTAATAAGGGGAGACATGTTTTTGTTCACAAAAACAAAATTCTAGTTTACAGTGAAATTTGTTCGGATAAGAATGTTTAAAACCAGATGTCTATATATTCTTAGGAAATCAAACATGTTTATTTATTTGTGTGTTTTATTTTTCTGAAAAAGTTGTATAATTATACATCTGAATGTATCTATTTAAGGTTGTTTTAATTAATTGTTCAGGTCGGCAATTCTACAAATGTGGGTCCTCTAAATGTAATTTCTTCCTGTGGGCTGATGAGACACCTAACAATGAGGATGGAGGAGGAGGAGGCGGAGGTGGAGGAGGGGGAGGAGGCGGCGGCTACGACTCATACAACAGGTACAATAAGACTCATTTTATCAGTACTTATATAAATATATATTATAATGTTTAATCATGTTATGCTGTACATTGTTGTTGGCAAAGTATGACTTTGTAACTCAAGTACAACTTTGTTGTCAATAAACTAAAATATGCACCAATTGTGAGTAGATAGCCAGAGATTTGTCGACTGTTTAAGTAAATATGGTACACTGTTCTAACCAATGTAACTGTTAAGATAACTTCAATATTATTATATAGTATCACATAACCAGAGGATAGGTGATGATGGTGGAGTGTTGATCTTTGTTTCAGAACCACCAACACTTCTGGAAGGGGAAACCCACCTCCACAATCAGGAGAGTCAGGAGGCGAGGAATGTAACTGTGGAAACCTGGCTAAAAAGTAAAAATATTCATCTTTTCTCACCAGCTATAATTCCACCTACAAAGCAGCCGCTGATAAAAGGGACTAAGTGTTGTTAGTATAGGGTCTCAAAGTAAGCTCTAATGAGTGCAGAACTAGAGGGAAACGATTACTCTATTTGTTATCAGCTTCTGTGATCAACCTATTTACAGTTTCAGCCAATCAAGAAAAAAGGATTTTCATTTTTATTGTCGATGGATGATCATCTCTATTCCTGTTTGAGGAAATAGAATAACTAATTAAACAAGCAATGATCAGAGTACTGTAACCAGCTGCCTTACTTGTTAGCTCACCTGCCAAAAGGGCAAGTGAGCTTATGTCATGGTGCAGCGTCTGTCATCATCCATCAACTTTTCCTTTAAAGGAGTTCTTCTGAAGACTGGATAGGCCTAGAGTCATGATATTTGGCTGAAAGCTTCGTTGGTAAGAGCCACACTAAGTTTGAGAATGAAAATGACCTTGACCTACTTTCAATGTCACAGGGGTCAAATGTGTCAAACACTTCAAACGACTTCTGAAGAAGAATTGAAAGGTACAGAATCTTAATATTTGGCTGGTGACTCCCTGGATCAGAACCAAACAAAGTTTGAGAATGAAAATGACCTTGACTTACTTTCAAGGTCATGGGTGTCAACAGCACTTCAAACTACTTGTTCTGAAGAACTGAAATGCATGAATTCATAAGATTCAGCTGGTAGTTGCTTGGGATGGAGCCAACAAAGTTTGAGAAGGAAAATGACATCAAGGTTACAGGGACAAATATGTCAAACACTTCTAACAACCTCTTCTGAAGAACCGAAAAGCATAGAATCATATAATAATATTTGGCTGGTAGCTTCAGTGGATTGAGCTGACAAAGTTTGCGATTGAAATATTTGTAGTACAGTATAATATTTAATGAGAATCATTTTCTATGACTGCTTGAATATCCAAGTGAGCGATACAGGCCCTCTGGGCCTCTTGTAGTAACATCACAAACACACAGTAAACAAGCCATCTGGTCCAAGCAAGTATTGTGTCTTGCTATTTACTGGTAGTTACGTAATATTATTTGAATTTTTTTTTAGTGCTTTATGTTTATTTCAGATTATCAGTGCAAAAAGAAGGCCCAAACAAAGGGAGGCAATTCCTATCGTGCAATAAACCCCGTGGTGAAGGTTGTAATTTCTTCCAATGGGTTGATGAAGCAGGAATGAATGGTAAGACTGCAAAACATATATTTGGTTTTAAGTCCTTCTGATTTGCTGGTAGAGCCACTATTTTGGAATGATTGTAGATCATTGAATGTTTTTATTGTTTGTTGGTTTAATGTCCTCCCAACAGCCAGGGTCATATGAGGACGGGTATTGAATGGTTTTAACGGTAACACTTGTCTATATTTAGCATCGTCATTAATTGTTAATAAAGTGAGTTATTTACATTCACTGTACTACTGTTTCATCATCACTCATACTTGAAGTAACTTCACCATAATGTACTTTGATAATTAATTCTTTTCAAAAGAAAATACCCGTGGAGGTGGTGCTACCTGGAAACAAGGAGACTCTAAAAAACGTGCGGGGTCTAACAGTGGGGGACCGACAACCAAGAAGGCGAGGAAATGTGGGTTATGTGGAGAGGAAGGTATGGGCATTCACTGTGTGGTAGATATTTTCTTCTGAATACAACTTTTTAGAAAAAAGAAAAAAAAAAGACATTTCATTTCAATCCTTCTCCTTCCCTACAGGTAAAGTAATTAAGTCACCTGAGCTAAAGGTGCTTTCTCTTGTTCTTTGTGCCTAGTCGTGCATTATACATCATGCTTAGTTCTTTTCAATTTTGTATAAACCGTGAGTGTGGCCCCCCTGGGGGCAGAAGGGCGGGGCCCAACAAGGAACACATAGCAAATTCTTAAAATACCTTCTTCTTCTGTACAAATTACAGGATTTTGTCCAAATTTGGTTTGAAACATCCTTGGGTGAAAGGGCACCAATTTTGTATAAACGGTGTGTCTAACCCCTTGACGCAGAGGGGCGAGGCCCAATAGGGGAAATAGAGATAAACCTTTAAAATCCTTCTTCTACCATAGGGATTAAGGGATTTTATCCAAATTTAGTCTAGAGCATCCTTGGGCCAAGGGGACTCAATTTTGTATAAATGGTGGGTATGACCCCCCCCCCTAGAGGCATAGGGGTGGGACTCTGTTTGAAGTTTGTTCTCATTATATCTCAAGTACTGGATAGATCTTTCTGAAATTTCATATGTACTTAAAGAACCTACACCAATCATTTAAAACATATTCATGTGAGCGATACAGGCCCTCTGGGCCTCTTGTTCGAAACTAAAACTGACATTAAACATTCTTGTTGGCCTGAATAGAAGCCAGGTTTCTGTTTACACAATATTTTTTTTTACAGGCCACACAAGAAAGACATGTCCACACAAGTGATCGTGAATTAGAGGGACCAAGCTGTGATATTTAGCATTCTTTTTTACCTGGCATGTGTAATGCATATGTTAAAAATAAAAAAACAATCAAAACCTACATTCCATTTTCTTTATGTGTAAATACTGTGTATTTGTTGATATGCACTTATTCTAATTGAAGGTAATCGATAGGACACCTGTAAATGCAATTTATGCTCTTTAAGTAGCTATGAATAGATTTTGTAGCCCATTATTAGATAGTGTTCTGTCCAAATTGACCATTGTCTATGGTCCTTCGTTTATGCTAAAACAACTTGTGTTATAATCCTAAATAACTGTCTATCTCCTTTAGGTCAGAATGTCTACCATACAGTCTGTTTTAAAAAAAATGTGCATAGTGTTTGGTGTGCATTTAACTTTTTGGACCTTTATTCAAGGTCAGAGGAATTCAACCTGTTAACAACACTCGTAACATAACTTTCTTACAAAAAGAGGTCTGGAGTCAGGATATATAGTGTGCAGCTCATTAGCAATGAGTGCTAAATGTTTGGGAAACGAATTACCAAAACCTTTGTTACAGGGGTTAAGTACAAATGTATGTTTAAATACTTTAAAAGCTTCTTTTGAAGAACTAAGAGGCCTAAAAGCCATGATCAATAGTCTGCAGCTTGCTCACATTGAGAATGACAACATGTATGAGAAGGAATTTCTTTGACCAGTACTAAAGGGCACTAGGGTCAAATATGGTAATCCATATCTCAAACAGTGTCTTCTGAATCACCAAGAAGTCCAAATTTAGGATATGTAGCCAGTGGTTTGCTGGAAATGATGCTAGTATTGTCTGAGAAAATATTGGCCTTCCCACCCTTGGTCTATATTCAAAGTCACAGGGGTCAATCTATAAAAAACCCCAAAAAAACTCCATATTTTGTGTGTAGTAGGAAATAAAGATGTTAAAAAACTGTGTAAAAGTTAGAATATTAGCAAGTCTGCTTGGGAGGTCATCCATTATCGTTAATGGCATAACATATTTACCACTGCATAGCATTGCCAGTATAGGATCCGACCAGATGACATTCATATTATATTATGTTAGCTTGGATACCACCAACCCTATCTGGAAGTTGGCTGTTCTATGTATTAAACAAGTATACAGGGTACTTACTCTGAATACTGAATTTTGATCATTTTACTGGAATTATTAAAATGAGATGAAAATATTTCAAACTATTTTTATAGTATATTCATAGTAAATGTAAATCCCAACTGAAAATGCAAGCAACAGCAGTCCACCTCATAGAATATGACTTTCCATTTGGCATTTATATGCTTAAATGTGCTGTGTTACAACAAATTTGTTTATATCATTAGACACTCTGATGAACTAAACAGGAATCTAAATCACTTTTCGTTGACAGTATTGAACAATTTCGTTGTTCTTCAAAAAGCTGTGGTGACTGAATAGTAGAGCTGAACAAGTGGTGGCTAGATAACAGGACAACATTTAAAAGTACTTTTCACACTAGGATAATATAAAAAATAATTGATTTAGGTAGTTAAAAGTTCAGTCTTAATTTGGTAAAAAAAAAAGCATCAAACACAATAACAAAAGGATGGAACATAGCAAACATCCCTGTCTCTGATATATTTACTGTCAAGTTTTTCAAATAATTTTGACATGTATTACCTAATGTTGCTATCAGTTAAAAAGTTATAGATAAAAAAATACTTGTCTTTTAATTGCACAGAAACAATTTTTACCTACATTGGAGAGATTGATCAGGCAGATTTAATATTAAACCTGGACATCAATTTAACTATCAAATACGGTTTACAAAAAGTGCTTCTGGAGGAACAGCAGGCAGAGTAAAACAAAATTAGATCAGCTATAATAAAGAACAAAACGTTTGCATACGATAAAACAAGGATCATAATATAGTATGGATAGTTTGTGATAAACTTTGAACATATTGTACATAGTTCTGATTGAATCTGACAAAGTCTTCAATTTCAACTATAGTTTCAGGGAACAGACTATCGGAATCTGTTCAGAAAAGTTAACTTTACGATCATCTGGTATCTGACGACGTGTCACAAGGTCTGGTATGCCTATATCTGACGACTTGTCACAAGGTTTGGTTAACTTAACGATCACCCGGTATCTGACGCCGTGTCACAAGGTCTGGTATGCCTATAGCTGACGACGTGTCACAAGCTCTGGTATGCCTATATATGACGACTTGTAACAAGGTTTGGTTAACTTAAGGATGACCCGGTGTCTGACGCCGTGGCACAAGGTCTGGTATCCCTATATCTGACGACACGTCACAAGGGCTGGTATGCCTATATTTGACGACGTGTGACAAGGTCTGGTATGCCTGTATCCGACGACGTGTCAAAAGCTGTGGTATGTCTATCTCTGGCGGCGTGTCACTAGGTCTGGTATGCCTATATGTGACGACATGTCACAAGGTCAGGTATGCCTATATCTGACTACATGTCACAAGGTCAGGTATGCCTATATCTGACGACGTGTCACAAGGTCTGGTATGCCTGTATCCGACGACGTGTCACAAGGTCTGGTATGCCTATATTTGGGATAATATGATAAGAGTGCAGTGTCCCGTTTTCTGGCCAAAAAAAAGAGAATATATTTACTGACAGTAAAATTCATCCAAACGTTCGAAGGAAATTCTAATCTTGGTCCTCTAATTTTAACATTCGTGTATTAAAAAAATAATATTCCCTTACTGAATATGTAAAATACAGATTTTCCAATAATTCTACTCGTTCCTTAAACACTTCATAACTCAAGAGGATGCGACAATGTATATAACAAAACAGTAAACTGTCGAATCTGCTGGGACATGTATCTCCATCCTTCTATTTTCTGGCTATCAACGACAATCTCGGATACTCGATAGTCAGACGTTCTATACATAGCAAAGGCACTCCACCTTACCGAAAATAAAAGGATCGATCTAAAACAACCGATTTTGCAATTGGTCCATATCCTATCGATTCGAAACTTTAAAAAAAGACATGTTGAATTCCCAATGCCACTGCTTTGATAGTCTACATAAAAGAATGCCGTGCCGCTCATAACATTGGATTAGGTATGGTGCCCCAGATATAATAATTTCCACATTCCAGGTCATCGTATTCAGTTCTTCACCCAAGTCTGTGCTCTGTTAGAAAAACCTTCCCGTGGCACCCACTCTCGCATCCCAATGTCGCCTGAAACCTTATAATGATCTCAGAATTGTCCGACACGTTGTGGAGTTGAGCAGTCTCTCGTGGTCGATTCAGTGCTTGTTTTTAGAGGTATACTTACACGTTTAGGAGCTTTATCGATTTATCATTTTGTCGTCGCCCTCTGATATCTGAAGAGTGTGATGGTTGTTTCTTCCCTCTCCTGATAACTTTCTCTTTGTATCAGCACACTGAATGCAGTGCCAGAACGGGATTTGTTAATTGTTTCTCCAAACAAATTTTACGAGTTGTGATCATTCTCGACAAAAACTGGACGCCATTCAGGAATAACACAGTTGTCGGTATGTTCCATGCAATGGCTATTGACTCTTTTTTCGATATGGAGATTGATTTATCTTGCGCGGTACACATTTTCGGCCAACAATAAAAACAAGTTACTCCACATGGACAATTTGATATTCTTACCTTTATAAGATAAAACGGTTCGTTAAGGTCCAGGTAGATGAGAACTGACGCTTGGTATTTGCCTCCTTTGATGCTATAACACAGTTTAAGAGATTTTCTGTCCAAACTGCTTTGGCCGACTCTTTGACATCAACATGTCTTTTGATCTTTCACGAACTGCCGACAGTATCATACTACTATTGTTCAGGTGAATGACCTTAACCCACTATAAAGTTGACAGAGTTCAAATATGTTAAAATATTTGCAACCAAATGACCTAGTGTCGTACAATAATGTATCTGTAACATGCTAGCATTAAGGGCTATTTATGACTTTTTTTTAATGAATGACCTTTTAAATAACAGTAAGAGGTCTTTGGTCATGATATATGAGATGGATGCTGGGACGAAATTCTATTAAAGTTGTTCAAACCGATGACCTTCATCAACTTTCAATATCAAAACGGTCAAACGTGTTAAATAATTAAGCATCTTCTGAATAATAGTTAAAGTTTAAACATATTTTATTGTACAAATATACAAATGGATTGGACAACAAGTTATTACAACTTAATAAAAGTCCTCTCCTAAATACATATGGTAAATACAATGTATATGTTTTATGGGGAACGGGAGGAGGATATGGTGGAGAAGGAAGGGTATGGAAGTAGGGGGGGGGATGGGGGGTTACCTAGAAAAGAAATCGTGTAAACTGTGAAAAGGATCCGCATTTGAATAAATTATAAATATACAAAATTTCATGAAATGAACAAGATCAATGTAACAAAGTAATCGGGCAAAATAATGAAATGCAATTTCATAAACATATATAAATATATAACAACGTACACATATAAATGAAAATAAGGAATGATAATTATAATTATCAAAACCTATTGCTGGAGTTGATGTAATGATGCACTTGTCTAAAAACTTTTGTATTGGTTTCTATCGAAAGTTGGGTAATACCAAACAAAAGTAATTCTAAATCAAAATCAACATACAAGGCATTTAAATTTTAGAACAGGATGCGTCTTTCGTCGTTAAAAAGTAAGCACTCATAAAAAAAGTGAAAGGCATTTTCACAGGGATGGCCACAATTACAAACTGGATTATCAACAAGATTTACCATATAAAGATCATATTTAAGTGGACTACACTGATATCTAAGTTTTGTATGCAAAATGTTTAATATACGTTCACCGAAACCTAAGTAGATTGGCAGAGGAGATAGTACGTTTGAAGTTAACGAGTTTTTAAAAGAGTGTTAAGAAGTCAATGATCGTACTGAAAGGTCCAATGAATTCCAACTGCGAAGAGTTGAAGGTATAAAAGATGAATTTGTTAGAGAAAGCCTGAAAGGAAGAACTCTATAATCATTATTGTTTCTAAGGGTGTAACGGTTATTTTCTGCAACGGTAGACGGCAATAGATCATTTAGATAGTCCTGAGTTAATTTACTGTGCATCTGAATAATCAAGGGGTATAAAGTCATGATAGTTGGCCTGCAGGTAAGGAATATCAAGTTTGTCTAAATGAATGACCTTGATAATTGTTTAAAATGTTAAAAATCCATCTCCGAATGTTTGCACTCGTCGTTTATTTCAACACCTAGATATAAGTAGTTTTACCCCGTTATATTTAAGTCTGGTTATAGAACACACTATACAAGGTCAGTTTGGTTCACTCACAAGATGAACTATATAAGAGGGAATTATGCTATATATGTGTGTGGAGCTCAAGCACAAACATTGACACTAGCCATGGAATTAATTGTCACTTGGCACTATGCTGAAGCTACGTCCTATTCCTTAAGAAGTATGGATCGTGTTAGATGGAATCTATATATCATGATTCTGGTTATTTCAATCTGTTGCATTGTTTCGTGGGGACCCTCGAGAGTATCGCTGATTACAGGCTTACTACAGTCCAGGCAACATTGCAGTTTTAAATCCTCATCTAATACGATAGGCCTAGCTGCCTCCACCTTAGACCTATCAAAAAGAAAATTGTTTGATTTTAGACAGGTGGGATTCCCTACTGGACCCGAGCTTTGGGCATACTATGGTTAAGTGTGTTTCCTAAACTCGATAACCGAAGTGATGGGCGTTGCGCCGACTAGTATATATGGAGAAACACATGCGCATCCATCCGGAAGTGACTGGATTTGGCGTTGGAGCCTCGGTTCATACTGTTCCAGAAGGTTTTGGTCTATGTTGTTGGTCTGAAGCACTTCCATGCCGTAGATGATCCTCGGCCTTACAAATGTTGTGTACATATGGTGTGAGATGGATGGTTTAATGCAAGATTTTCCATGTAGACCCGCTCCCATGAGCGCTTATATCGTGCGCCCATCATTACATATACGGTCCGGTACATTTTATGGTGTCGTTGTTGATGTCTGTATATGCCAATATGGTTGGTCAGGTCTGTCTCTAGTAGAGTGGCATTTCCAAGAATCCATTCATCAGCCGCTCGCTTTTTGGTGCAGTATATATTACGATATCGCTCTTTGTGGTGTTAAATGACGAACGGTCCTTGCAAGAGATGTTGTATACAGCATTAAAAGCAGTTTGAAGGTTGATGGGCGGATTGGCTAGGAGGGCTATGTCGTCGACCACTGTTGGACACCATGTGTATATAGTATCCGATACAGACCCCAATGTTGTGTTGACAAACCCTTTGTATAGTGTTGGAGATGGTTTGGCCCCTTGCCGGATATCTTGTTTGACCTCGAATGAGTTGCTCAGATAACCTTTCCAGATGACATTCGACCAAGCTTTGGTTTGGAGTTTTTCCATCAATTGGAGGACATTATTTGGGATTCCCATATATGGTTGCGATTGCGCAGGAGCCCGCTTTGCAAACTATGCCAAATGCTTTTTCACCATCGAGAGTTCCAAGACCTAGTATCGAGTTTGAGATTCACCGCTTCGTTGATGCCGCATTGTATGGAGAAGTATGTTTGCTGAATCTCCGTTGCAGTTTACTTTGGTGCTTGTCCACTATTGGGCTATCTTCTGGAGGGCACATTCGAGTACTTTAACGATGGTTGAGATGATCGTGATGCCTCGATAAAGCTACCGGTTTGTTTTTGTCCTTGTTTTTCTTACAGATGGGGGTGATGTTACCCTTCCTTAGAATATTTGGGATCTGACACATACGTATTTTTTTTTTTTAATGTCGTTGTTAGAAAGTTGCTTAAGATGTGCTGCTGTGATGCCTAGGTTGTCAGCGGCTTTTAATTTGTTGTTATTCAGCTTAGCAATGGCTGCAGCTATTTGTTCAATCGTGAGCGCAGGTGAGTCATCCCGTGTTACCTTGCCCACCGTACCGATTACAAAATATATACTCAATTTTAATAATGTTGGACTGTTTCGAAGTTATACAGCCATTGTTCTTGTAGAGCAGTTATTTCTCGATCTTTGGCTAGGTTTTTAACATATATCGAGTTACCCTTGCTGTTCTGTACGTTGGCTAGGTTTTTAACATATATCGAGTTACCCTTGCTGTTCTGTACGTTGGCTAGGTTTTTAACATATATCGAGTTACCCTTGCTGTTCTGTACGTTGGCTAGGTTTTTAACATATATCGAGTTACCCTTGCTGTTCTGTACGTTGGCTAGGTTTTTAACATATATCGAGTTACCCTTGCTGTTCTGTACGTTGGCTAGGTTTTTAACATATATCGAGTTACCCTTGCTGTTCTGTACGTTGGCTAGGTTTTTAACATATATCGAGTTACCCTTGCTGTTCTGTACGTTGGCTAGGTTTTTAACATATATCGAGTTACCCTTGCTGTTCTGTACGTTGGCTAGGTTTTTAACATATATCGAGTTACCCTTGCTGTTCTGTACGTTGGCTAGGTTTTTAACATATATCGAGTTACCCTTGCTGTTCTGTACGTTGGCTAGGTTTTTAACATATATCGAGTTACCCTTGCTGTTCTGTACGTTGGCTAGGTTTTTAACATATATCGAGTTACCCTTGCTGTTCTGTACGTTGGCTAGGTTTTTAACATATATCGAGTTACCCTTGCTGTTCTGTACGTTGGCTAGGTTTTTAACATATATCGAGTTACCCTTGCTGTTCTGTACGTTGGCTAGGTTTTTAACATATATCGAGTTACCCTTGCTGTTCTGTACGTTGGCTAGGTTTTTAACATATATCGAGTTACCCTTGCTGTTCTGTACGTTGGCTAGGTTTTTAACATATATCGAGTTACCCTTGCTGTTCTGTACGTTGGCTAGGTTTTTAACATATATCGAGTTACCCTTGCTGTTCTGTACGTTGGCTAGGTTTTTAACATATATCGAGTTACCCTTGCTGTTCTGTACGTTGGCTAGGTTTTTAACATATATCGAGTTACCCTTGCTGTTCTGTACGTTGGCTAGGTTTTTAACATATATCGAGTTACCCTTGCTGTTCTGTACGTTGGCTAGGTTTTTAACATATATCGAGTTACCCTTGCTGTTCTGTACGTTGGCTAGGTTTTTAACATATATCGAGTTACCCTTGCTGTTCTGTACGTTGGCTAGGTTTTTAACATATATCGAGTTACCCTTGCTGTTCTGTACGTTGGCTAGGTTTTTAACATATATCGAGTTACCCTTGCTGTTCTGTACGTTGGCTAGGTTTTTAACATATATCGAGTTACCCTTGCTGTTCTGTACGTTGGCTAGGTTTTTAACATATATCGAGTTACCCTTGCTGTTCTGTACGTTGGCTAGGTTTTTAACATATATCGAGTTACCCTTGCTGTTCTGTACGTTGGCTAGGTTTTTAACATATATCGAGTTACCCTTGCTGTTCTGTACGTTGGCTAGGTTTTTAACATATATCGAGTTACCCTTGCTGTTCTGTACGTTGGCTAGGTTTTTAACATATATCGAGTTACCCTTGCTGTTCTGTACGTTGGCTAGGTTTTTAACATATATCGAGTTACCCTTGCTGTTCTGTACGTTGGCTAGGTTTTTAACATATATCGAGTTACCCTTGCTGTTCTGTACGTTGGCTAGGTTTTTAACATATATCGAGTTACCCTTGCTGTTCTGTACGTTGGCTAGGTTTTTAACATATATCGAGTTACCCTTGCTGTTCTGTACGTTGGCTAGGTTTTTAACATATATCGAGTTACCCTTGCTGTTCTGTACGTTGGCTAGGTTTTTAACATATATCGACCCTTGCTGTTCTGTACGTTGACCGAGCCAATGCTCATCCCAGCCACAGAACAGGCCTTCCTTGTTATCCCCCGCTTTCACCGAAATGGGGGATATTAATTTGGGCTTGTCCGTCCGTCTGTCTGTCTGTCTGTCTTTCTGTCACGCTTCGTTTCCGTGCAATAACTGCAACAAATGTTAACCGATTTTCTTCAAACTTGGTAACAGGGTTAAATGCCCTAAGGGCTCGGCCAATTTAGATGACCAATTTCAGCGGACTTTATTTGGCGGAGTTATGGCCCCTTGAATAACGAAAAACGTCATTATCTGCCGTTTCTGTTCGTTCGTTTACTCTCGCAAATATTATTCGATTGTCTTCAAACTTAGTAACAGGGTTCAACGCATTAAGGGCTCGGCCAAGTTTGACAACCGCTTGATTAACGAAAAAGTCATTATCTGCAGTTTCCGCTAAATAACTCTAGCAAATATTAGCCAAATTCCTTCAAACTTGATAACAATGTTTGTGTTGCTCTGTCTTTCCACCCATCTTGGGCACTCTTTGGTTTTCGTGTGATAATTGCTTTAGATATTGTGCAGATATTTCAACCAAATTCCGTATTTACGGATTATTAATGTGGTAAGTAAATTCTGATGGATTAAACGATTTACTTACACCGTAATACCTACATGTTCAATAAAAACTCTAACTTCTGTATAATGCTTTTTTTCGAGTTTGAAGCTATACATTATGTCTCAACAACACGATACTCACAAGTTTAAACCTAACCTAAATAATGTTTACCTACAATATGTCCTGCAAGCGGGGGATATACATTCCACGAATTTGCTTGTTATTATATAGTTGGAGGGTGTGTGGTTTTCCTTGTTGGATTGTATTGTACCTGAATTGTAGGTTTGGTGATCCTTATACATGAGTTTTGCATACCAGCATTTGAGTTTATTTTATGATTGGCACTCTGTCTGGACTATCCTCTGGGTCGGGATCACTGATATGAGCGGGTTCCTGGATTGCGACATGAACAATTGCTGTGGAAACCTGATGGTGGATCACCTGGGCTTATTTCATGTATTCCTGATTGAGGATTCTGCTTCGTTTGCTGATGGTACGAGTGGTGTCCCCTTAGCTGTCGATTTCTCCGCAGATGTCCTTGTTGGAAGGATTCCCTGGCACTGGTTTTTCTCCGTCATTGCTGCGATTCCTTTGTGGCCTTGGCACAGAAAAAAATATTCGACTTTGGTGCAGTATCCTCATCTTTCGAGTTATTCTGGTTATTGGTTAATGGTGGGACAGCCTCCTGTCGTTTGTCGTTTGATTTGCAGCTTCAGAGTCAAGGGCGTAGCTAGGCCTCTATTAACGTGGATTCATAACTGTGCTAGGGGGGTCCGGGGGCCTGGCCCCCTGGACATTTTTAAAAACAATGGTGCAATCTGGTGCATTCTGGGCATTCTGAGGTGCTTTATTTAGTACTCGAAAATGGAAAGTTTTAGGATCTTAAATCAACAAATAAACCCTTTACTCGGCATATTTTTTCTCTTAAATAGAGCTAAAATAGCAAACAAATACGAGCCCCGATTATGTTAATAATACCCAGATTATCTAACAGAAGTATAATTTTCTGTCCTTTTTGCCAGCGAACTCACTGTATTATTATATTTTCAATGTCAATGTCCATTTGTCTAACTATGCAACATTGCTCGTCCAGACAGACGTTCAGTGGACATAGTGGAACTCATGTAGTTTTTCACCCTTCTCATGATACTGAACTGCCTCTCAGTTGAGACTGTTGAGACCGGCATGGTAATAAGCCACACTACCAGACTTATGTAAATGTTGCACTAAGGTCAGAAGGCTTTGTTTCTTCCAAAGACCGGGCAACTTTCGAATTCACGTCTGAAGCTTTCACGATCTCCACTAAAGTCGTCATGAAATGCATCAAATATGGCATCTTCTTGAGCAGGTGTCTTCAATGGCTATTTAGTATAGAAACGACAAGGAACGTTTGATATAAGCATGCAGTCAAGTACGCATAAGGCAACTTTAGCTGAATTTTTGTTTGTTTGTCAGAATCATGTGGATTCAACTGCGTACTCGCGTATAGGCAGCTACGCGCCTGAGAGTCCTAATTGTGGCATCAAGTTCTTTATTACGGTTCTCCAGCTGAAATAAATGGCTCTTGCATAGCGCTAACTGTTTATCTATCTCATCCATGGAGAAGTTCTGCTTGGGTTTCCTTTCTCATTTATTTCCATTACTAGTTATGGTTGTGGTTGAGGAAGATGGTGACTTACCGAGATCACCTGTTACAGCAGTGGAACGGGCTTGGTGGCCTTCCTCTGCATTGTTACGTTTACTTTTCCCTCTCGTGTGCATTTGCATGGGCTCTCTTGTATTGCCTGTGATGCGTTGGTTTTCCGTTGCATGGGTAGGTTGTTGGTACTTAACCAGGGAGTAGGTTAGTTTGTACATGGCAGGTTATGTACCGTCAGTGTATACGATTTGTTAAATGCTGCTACTGGAGTGTGGCAGCATTTTTCACAAATATATCAATGTGTCCGTATTTTGGGTATAGGCGTACTGCCGGGGCACTCACCTGGAAGGTTCCCTCTGCTGTGCTAGGCGGTTAGTACTTTCTATCCTAGGGTGCTAATTAGTGACTGGCTGTACATAGGCTCAGAGTGTAGTCTTTCCGCTCCGATGATCAAATGCTAGTTTTCCACTGGTCCCGTTTATGGATATTGGTTTTCCTCTGATGTACATCAAAAGTTGTCCCTGTCGACCATGGCTGGGATTGTATACCAAATAGGAGGGAATCTCCAGTTACTTGTGGTGTGCTTACTGGTGTGCTTACTTTCCTGACCTGTAGTGTGTCAGTTTAGTTCTGTCATGCTGTCACCAAGTAATGCCTCACATGGTATTGCATTATCCTGGACTTCTTCACTACTAGAGGCGGAGATGCCAGGCCGACCCACAGATTGGCCCAGTCTTCGAGGAAGGCACAGCTGGTGCACGTGGATGGTAGCCTAGGTTTACATTCCTGCAGTGTTGTTTGTACATGTACTATATATTCCGGAGGAGTACATACAGGTAGTAAATTGCTTTAGTAGACTGTTTCTGTGGCGCCTTTTTTGTCTGACTCTATGATTGGTATATGGGCTATGGTGTCCTTTTAGACTGGTAAATATTGCCTGTCTCATGTCCATGCACATCCACGCTGGGAGGTTCTGGGATCTGTGCCGAGTTGTTTAATATCTGGTGGTGATCCTCAAATATCTTAACATGCCATCAACTTAACTTTACATTTGTATAATTCTTAGCCTTTTTAAAAGTAATGTCAAACATTAAAGCCAGAGGGCTTGGTAGGTAAGGGATGCCCAATCACCTGCCCTTTGAGCTAATTTTGTTGAAATTCTTCTGTATTAACTTTTATTACTCATTAGCTAAACCTATGTAGTCTAAATACGATCTCTAATAAGTTTTACGTCCTGAGCTTTTTTACAACATTGTTATTTAATTATTTATGTATTATAAAACTATATTGCCAGGGGCTTGGCAGGTAGTCCAATCACCGGCCCTTGGAGCTCATATTTTGATAACAATTTTGTTTTATCACGGAATTCGATTAGTTATCTAAGTCCGTGGTTTTATTTATTGCTCTACTTTAGCAAATTGTTATTGTAATAGCGGTGCTACATTATTGTGTCACTAAAGAGGACTCCGTGGAAATAAACCTTAGTGTTTTCTGGGTTATCCTGGTTCTAAGTTTTATTTTTATTATGATATATATAAAAGTATGATTACTACCAGTGCTATTTTTTTTTTATTAAAGCAAGAAATTATAAGGCAAAACGTGATTTAGTTTTTAATTTGTTTTACCTCCGCAATCTTATTGAATTCATATAATATAAATTGCGAAAAAAAATATGCAAATATATATCTTATACCTGATAGGCCTAACGATGATTATAAATTGTGATAGATATGTTGTTAATTATAACAGGGACGTATATATACCACAGAGTGGCTTTATATGTCTCTGAGTGTAGCTTGTTGAGTGTCGCATTATTTCGACAAGGTTATTTGCCATTGGGGAGACATTATTGTGTGACTGAAGTAATGAGCATTATAAACAAGTAAAATTGACCGTATGTACACAATATTTATCATGTCGAGTTAGATATTAAACGTTTTTTGTAAAATTTTAGTTCTATAGTAGAAAATATGTTTAAGTGGTGGGATACAAACAGTAAGGTTATTTAACCAATACGCACTCCCTTCACTCATTACATCCGGGTATTTTCCCACCATCGCAAGACGCCATTTCCTGTGTAAAATTTCGGAAAGCAAAATGGGAAGGAAAAAGAAGAAGCAACTGAAGCCCTGGTGTTGGTATCCTTTTTAATAGTTGTGATCTTCAAGATAAGGCATTTAAGTATTTGTTGAAAGTAGTTTGTTTTGAAACCAAATTCAGATTGTACGAGTTCGAGGGATAAAATTGTTTCAACACTCGAGCAGGTTGGGCACAACGGCGCATATGGATACTAATCTTACATTTGGGTAACAGTTAACGTTACACATTTGCAGTAACAATTTTATTGCTCAGATGGGGAATAAAAAGAAATAAAAACACATAGTCCTTTTAAACACTTGGAGTAAAAAGGGCGATATTCTTTCGACTAAATCCAATATAACACAATGAAGTAGGCATTTGTTCACAAAAGGTTATCAATTTATGATGTCTTGCGGTAACATTTTGTAAAAATGACAAATTATATCACTGACTTTGCTCTCCATTGACTTCAGTGTGTAGTCAATGGGATCATCCAGTGCGAATGTGACAGGTTAGCATGTTTTTTTTTCTGTGTGCTGTTTATAGCTGCTCTACAGAACACTATAAGCAATGGAGGTGATACAATTTGTCATTTTCACAAACATTTTCACAACTGATTTAACATATTTTGTGCACAATTGTACCTCATTGTATTTTTTATTGGCCATTTTTTGCTCCTGGTGTTTAAAATAATTTAATTTATTTTTTTACTTTATTTCCATCTGAGTAATAAAGTTGTTACTGCAAATGGGTAACTGTTACCCAAAATGCAGGAGTATTACCCATATGCACCGTTGTGCCCAACCTATCAAGTGGAAGGTGTTATGAAGGAGCCTACTTTGGTCATTGTCTAATTAAGAACGTTGTGAGCGAAAGTCCGGTCTCTGAGGGAAAGGTCGAAATTTAATTTGAACAATTTATGTAGAAAAAAAATCTGAATTAATAGAAAATAAAAATATTTCATGTTTAAGTAACAATGAAAGTTGAGGTTAAGTATGTAATGTCAATCAAACAAATGTTATACTCCACAGACTCATACAGGGGTCATACGTAAAAGTGTATTCAAGCTTAAGTGACAACAAGCTTTGCCAGACAAAATCTTAAAAAAATACTGAATGAAGTATGCGAGATCAGAAGATATGTTTTTCAAATGTATACCAAATTTCAATGTGATATTTGAAAATTGACAAAGTTATGATGAATTGAACTTTTATGATCGGCAGTGTTGCACACATGTATGTATAGAATTCTACAGATCAATATTCAAGAAGTGTCTTCAGACTTATCCCTAAAATTAATCGGTAAAGTAAGCGACAATAGAAAGTTATTCATATGACTATACAACAACTTTATAATAAATTTCAGTTTGATATTTGATAAAAATGACAGAGTAATGATGAATTTAATTTCATGATTGGCAGCATGGCACACGTGTGTATAGAACTCTACTGATTAAGAAGCGTTGTCAGACAAATTCTTTAAAAATACTGACTAAAGTAAGTAGCATAAAAATATATTTTATTCTAGGAACTAGACAGGTTGATCAACGTCGACCAGGTAGCTCACTTTATAGAGAGTCCGTCTAGAGTTCAGAGGGTCCCGGGATTGAACCTCGGTCTGGCTGTTGCATTTCTCTTTCTTCTGTTACATTCCTATGACTTCAACACACCCATATACCAAAGGAAATCGAGAATGAAAATGAAATCAATGTATTTTTTGTTTGAACTGTGTTGAGCTTTGATTTTCTTAACAAGCATTTTAGGTATTGCAACAGAGAGTTTGACGATGAAAAGATTCTCATTCAGCATCAGAAAGCAAAGCACTTCAAATGTCATATATGCCATAAAAAATTGTACACCGGTCCAGGCTTGTCTATTCATTGTATGCAGGTAAGTATTTGGTTATAGTTATAACAAGAAACTATATAATAAATACAATAAGAAACATATTCTAAAAAAAATTGAAAGAAAATAAATACTGTTTCATTTGTTGTACGATGTATATCCATTTTATTGTCAAGATAATTATGAATTGATTTATGCATGTTTTGACCATTTGAAAAAAAATGTGTTTCTGATACAAATAATGCATTAATTCACAAATGTTTTTGTATGTTTTTACTAGGTTCACAAGGACAAAATTGACAAGATACCAAATGCTTTACCAGGAAGAAATAACGTTGAAATTGAAATATATGGCATGGAAGGTATTCCTGACGGAGACATAAAGGACCATGAGAAACAGAAGCAAGGTATAAAAAGTACAAGTCATAGTGCTTGAATTTTGATTTTGAAGGTTTTACGTCTGCTATTATGGCCTTTCGGCCTTTCAGTAGACAAGAACAGATAGGAAAGGAAAATAGAAGGGACATAGTATCTAGAGAAAGGAGAGGGTAGAGGTGGAGGAGATAAAAGTCGTCTGTCCTATAGACCGACACAAGGGATAGTATAATTTTGCGTGACGACTCCTGGGCCGAAAAATGGTTACCTAACGTTGATTCGTAGCGCATCAAGATGTTGGGCGCGGTAAGAGAAGAGCGGATGGATGGCACCCCAAGGGAGGCCCTGAAACCAGCCAAGTCGGTTTAACCCTAGCTAAGATGAATTTGATTAAATCTGATTTTTGAAGTCCGTCTAAAATTCTAATAAATACACCTAACCCTTATTATAAGTCTAAACTATCCTTACCTCTGGGTCGGCGTTACCACGCCTACTCTTCTTCGACAATACTCAGAGGGGTCTTAGTCATAGTGCATTATTTTACAGTACATGTACTAGGTTTCTGTTTGTAAGTAAAAATTAACTGAAGTTCTGTTGTACATATGGAGATCAGGGAAATTGTTTCATTACCACTCGTAAGCCTTTACGAGGTGTTGATTTCACCATGCTGGTCCTAAGTCCTATACATATAGATTTTCTTTATCACTTTCACACTTTTCCCAAAGGAGCAAGTGAATAATCAAGATGCCAAGGTTCATGATATTTGACCTGTTGCATGCCTGGAAGAAAGCCTATCCAGTTTGTTTAAATAAATAACCATAACTGGCTTTCAAGTACATAGGAGACAGGCGTGTTGAATTTTTTTAAGAACTTCTACATAACCAAAAGGCTATAAGGATGATAATAATTGAATAGATGGTGAACGAGTTGGTGAACCTCTGGTTTGATTGGTTGAATCTTGTATCTATAGCGTAGGAGTCAATCGCAACAAGCTCAGGATAAGTTGAATCTTATTTATTGGGTATGTCTACCGGTTTCGCCCGAACAGTGGGCTTCTTCAGGACGATTTGATAACAGAATATGTCCCCTGAAGTACTAAAATTCTGGGCACATCTATATTGTGTATAGTGACTTAATAGGTAACGTCACGTGATATCTATTTATAACGTTCTAGAAATTTCCATCACGGTTATTATTAGTAGATGAGCATTCTAGTCTATAGTATCAATACCTGAAATACTATCAATGTACATACAATTCATTGATTATTTTAAATAAACACCAGAGCACAGGCAACCAAACCGGACAACAAATGCCCATTTGAGGCGCTTACGAAAACACAATTAGATCAAGTGAAATTCAGAGTGAAACCAGGACATGGGATAACTACAGTGGGACCACCTTGCAAACAATTCAGGCCGGTACTAGATGAAACTATAGAGTTACTCAAGGCTGACCTAGAATTATCAGAGAGTGAATACACGGCATCCACGCCAAATACATCAGAAGAAGACTACGCAATGAGAGACTACAAGACTTTGGGATATAAGTCTCTATCCACATCCACTGTTTGTCAGGATGAACTTGAACATTATAACTCAGTTTAATAATATTTAGGGATAAAAGAAACTTGTACTTATGTCTAACTATATATACACATTTATACACATATATATTTAAAATAGTCAATGAATTGTATGTACATTGATAGTATTTCAGGTATTGATACTATAGACTAGAATGCTCATCTACTAATAATAACCGTGATGGAACTTTCTAGAACGTTATAAATAGATATCACGTGACGTTACCTGTATTACGTCACTATACACAATATAGATGTGCCCAGAATTTTAGTACTTCAGGGGACATATTCTGTTATCAAATCGTCCTGAAGAAGCCCACTGTTCGGGCGAAACCGGTAGACATACCCAATAAATAAGATTCAACTTATCCTGAGCTTGTTGCGATTGACTCCTACGCTTATTTTCCTATTCTTCAATCGCCCTGCCTACTGGTTGGTATCCAGGCAAGGGATAACGGAACCTACCGAACCTAAACTACAATAACGGCGTTGGCTCTACTCCTGGATCGATGTTGTATCTATAGCGATATAATTTCTAAAACTGCACATGAGAGGCTCCATTGTTGATGACATATTCAAAAATGATCACCTATATGAGGATTGTATGGTGACATTTATTTCACCTCAACAGCATTGCTGAACATAATCATATTCTTTGAGTGTGTTAGAAAAAGGGGAGGGGAGGTATTTGTTATATCCCTGTAAGCAAGATGCATATGCTTCATTGCCACTTATGAATCATTTTACAGTCTTGGCTTAAGAAAGCACTAATACATATTCAGATTTTTAAATTAATCCAGCACATTTCTTAGATCTTATTTATAGCAATATCATATATATGACAGTCGGTCCCAAATCTCAAAAAGCAAAGTGATTGTCTGGGTAAGACAATGTCAGTAGATTAGGGATCTTGATCAGAGAACTAATATGAAAATATATGGAACTGACTTTAGTGGAATAGAAATTTGCTTGGCAGAGTATATTTTGTGGTACTACAGCTGAAGTGGAGAGGTATTAGAACGCGTGTACAAAATATCACTATGATGAATACATTCTAGCTTACAATATCATTGTTGGATGTGGAAAAGAATGTGCTAACCTTCTACTGAGTGATGTTGATTGAGGTACCACACAAATTGACAAATGTTTTGTGGATATTACATTAAGGTTTTCATTTCTGCTGTAGAACCTCCCAGTAAAAGGCTGAGAGAAGACGATGATGACAATGACGACGAGGAAGACAGCAATCAGGGAAATAATAATCAGTTTAACAATTACGGTATGCCACCTCCCATGGGCCCAGGAATGCCTCCATTTGGCATGCCGCCTGGTATGCCACCCATGCCACCAGGGCCAATGGGTCCGATGGGGCCAATGGGTCCTATGGGACCTATGGGACACATGCCGCCTATGGGTAGGTTTACATCTGTTTCTGTCTGTGCTACTTTGGCAAATTATGTAAATTTTGTGTAATAACTGATTTTTAGTAGATGTAGATAACAGTTGAATTCATGATATATTTTACTTGGAATATTTCACTTTGAAAAGCAATATGATGTTTTAATTGATAACAAGTAATTTGCTGTCTTCCCCAATCACAATAGTTGATGGTAATTGAGTTTGTGTTTTAATTTTACTGATAATTTGTTTGCAGGTCCTATGGGTCCAATGGGGTAAGTTGATTTGCATATAATTATTCGTAGATTTTAACCAAAAATGGTCAATTGTAAAGAAAACTGAATATGTGTATTTGAATTATACAATTTAGCAGAAACAGAATTTTATTTATTTTTTAACCCTCTCTCCCCGCCGAAAACTTCTTAAGAATAGCTTGCTGATATTGACAGCTGCAAAGTTTGTGAGTATCAATGACCTTGACCAATATCCAAAGTTTGATTGGGGTTGACTTTGTTGCAACATTCAGACGGTTATTTCTATTAAGAAATAACAAGACTTCCAGTTATATAATATTTGGCCAGTAGCTTACTTGCCTGGCATGCTACAAATTTTGTTAAGCTTTGTTGCCAAGTTTTGATTAAACCCACGAGTCAAGATAAAAAGTTGAATAAAGAACTGAAAGGCCATGTGTTGTTATATTTGTCTAATTACTTGCTGGCACAAGTGCAGAAAGAAATTTCCTTGGCCCATATTCAAGGTAACTGGTCTAATTGCTTATAAATCCCAAACAATTTCTTCTGAAGGATAGAAATGCATTAAGTCATGGTATCTGCCCAGTAAGTTGCTGAAATGTAGTTTTACGAAGCTTGTTGAAATGGAGGGCCACTTAAAACAGGTAATCACAAACAACTTAAGACTTCTTTGTAAAATGATTATTTGACACCTCTTTTGAAGGATGCCTCCAGGAATGCCACCCATGCCCCCTAGAAACTTCATGCCAGGTAACGGACCACCACCACCCATGCACCCTCCCATGTCATCGTCAGCTCCACCAAAGCCATTGTTTCCTTCTGCAGCTCAGGTGAGCTTCATTGTTTGTGTTAAAATTCCATTTACAGAACATGGAAGGTCACGTACAGTAGGTGTGAGATGATTAACAGATAAACATTCAATACAGGCTCATGGATAATCCTGACTTGTCTTGAATTATGAAAAGAAGGGAAAAAATCACTTTCAAGTCAGCTCGGGTTTGGATGAACATATGTATGGAGTTGCTTTATGATCCAATGTTTCAGATTTTTAGAGCTTGTGAAATTTACAAAACAGAATTACATCACTTAAAAGAATGTCATAAGCTTCACAGAAATTACTTGAACAGATCCTTCATGATGGAAAGTACATGTAATGATACCATCTGATCTATACATTTTAACATAATCTTAAATCATTGTTATGAGAACATATCTATGTTAAGTTCTGTAACTATAAATCCATTTAATGACAACATAATATCAACAACATCCTTTAACTTATCTTACTTTGTCATAAAATATTAGCGATGTATTTATTATCCTAGGAGTTCTAATCTTGAGACTTGAATATTAGTACAGCAAATATGTATACATACTGGGCAATGGCAAACTTTTGCATTTACCTAATGATTTGAAAACAGGAAATTGTGAAAGAAAATACTCACGAATACTTCTCGTACCATTTATGACAGAGTATATTAAAATATTCATATTACTAATGTACAATTGCAGTCATCTGTAGCAAACACATCAGGACAATCCTACAAGTCGTCGACAATAAACAGCCAAGCCAAGCCAACATTCCCCTCAGCAGCAGCTTCAGCTACAAACACCAGCTCTTCCTCCCCCTCCCGGGCCACAATCACTGGCGCACCACAAATCAAGAAACCAGAGTCTAGCTCAGGTTTGACCTCTAAACTCATGCACCCTGATGAAGATATCTCCCTGGTAAGTTCTCAATTGATAACTGTGATGATGGCATATCCAACTTTGAAAGGTAGGACAAGTGATATTTATGTGTTTGTACATTTTCTTGTAAATTTGAACTTAAACTCTATGAAATATTTCAGAGAGACATTTTGAAAAAAAAGGTTAGTTAATATTCAGTTAATGAGATGATCAAAAGAAGAAACCAGAGATTTTGCAGAGTAAATATTTTTGATTACCAGTAATGTCTCCTGTTTTTAGACAAGTCATTATTGTTGTGGTTCATCGCTGAACAAAAAAATAATGTAGAGAACTCATATCCTCTGTCACCCACAACTACCAAATTTTGCATGCAAGTAGTTCTTTGGATTGGGAGGTGTCCCATACTAGAATAGGGTTTTGTGTCCTACATAATACAAATGTTATAATAAAAAAATGATTAATGTTATAACAAATATGAAACAAGTCTGTTCAACTTATGTTGACCCGGATGGAAACACATAGCTGTTAAAGGAACTCTATGTGGAAGGAGAGTAATTAGATGGTCTTTATGTGGGAGGAGACTGTCCAACCCAGTGAAAACCCACATGGTTGGACAGGTGACCCAGTAACTTTTTACATTCAATCAGAGTCCAATCCTGGCTTGCTCAGAAAGGCAAGATAGTTGTGGCCCTTCATTGTGAATCACATTGTCTACGGTTCATCATGTATATGCTGTCAGATACAGTTACTAATTATTTTATGCAAGTACCTCTTGGGATGGCAGTCAGGTTTAAATCTATTTTATTTTATCTTGAATTTATTCACAAATACCTGGGAAATGAAACACAGAAATTATGGTGGATTTGTTTTTTAAGAAACGTGTATTTAAATTGATAAATGTATTTTTCATTCATGCATGTGGAAAATTCAAGGGGATTAAGTCTTGTTTAATAACGTACATTTCAAGACAAGAACTAATGTTATTGGTGATTGTTGTTATAATTGTGGACATTGGGAGACTGAAACACAAATGAGAGGCTGGATGTACTGTTTGTGTAAATTATATTAGCAAATTTATTAATAAAGGAAGCAGAGAATTCAGAAATCATTAGCTTTACATGTACAATTCTATATGCAGAAATTCTTCCCTCAACTAAGTTGATTGGTGTCCTAACTCATTGTACTGTTGTGGTGAACTATTGACTTCAGGTTGCCCAAAGGACACTTCTCTAGTGAGCAATTAAATGATAGTTATCTGTTTTATCTGTACAACAGGAGGAGAGAAGAGCCACACTTCCCAAATACAAACAAATGTTGTCAGGAGGAGGGGGCGGAGGAGCAGGAGGAGGAGGAGCAGGAAGTAAGCTTCAAGTGATTTTTGAAATTAAGTTGTTAAATGCAGAGCAATGAAACCTGCAAGCATGATTCATATTGTAAACTTATAGTTCTGGTGATGTTTGATTTACATAGATTTACCAGATAAGATGGTATTAGAGAGCTAGTTCTTTAGACTGGGTAGGATCCTGGTTTTATTTCATAGTTCTGGTGATGTTTGATTTACATAGATTTACCAGATAAGATGGTATTAGAGAGATAGTTCTTTAGACTGGGTAGGATCCTGGTTTTATTTCATAATGCATTTCAAGGAGATAATGTTTTTGTACCAAACATGATTTGACCCTTGGTTTGGGTGAGACCTTTGGTTTGGGTGAAAAGGTTATATATATGGCATAATGTCGTAATGGAAACTCATCATTGTAAAGCATTGTGTTGTAATGTAGTATTGGTATGAATGAAAGTTAATGCCTTTTTGTTGACACTTTTGAAGGTATGAGGGGAGGATCCTCTACTGCTATGGGAGGCATGAATGACAACAACCAATGGGGAGGATTTAGGCCACAGATGCAGCAAGGAAATCACTACTGAGATTGCCTTCATTGTCACTTCTGATATCATCCCATCATCACTGTGTCTGTCAAAACTGTCCTGCTGGCATCGGTTCAGTTAAGTGAATAAGAAGTCATTGTGTGGACAGGAATGCATGATTTCATCACATCCATGTCTGAAGTTTAATTGTGAGATGTTTTTCTCTTTTAAAAAATATTTTGTAGATAAAGAGCCCTTTGGGTGTATGGCTGGTCTTGTTTGCTTAGTAAAAGGTAAGACTTAGCCAGACTAAAAACTGTTGAAAATTTTAAATAATACTGAAGGATCATAGAACACAATGGGGTCGACAAGACACTGGTAAGTGTTATGATCAGTATGTTAATGTATGATAATGGTTTCTTTTTATTCTTAATTCAGTTGTATAAATTGTGAATTATTGATTTCTATATGTTGTCCATTGAACCAAAACATAAAGAATTGTAATTTTTATCAATAAAAGTATCAAGTCGTTGTATATTAGATAACATTGATGAATTTCTTTTTTTGTTTCTTGGTTATTTTCTTTTCTGTGTCTTTATAAAATCAGGGTTCTATATGATATTGATCTGTTTGTGGTTGAAAAACTTTTATTGAATTACTTGCATTGTGAAAATCATTGACCTCTCGTAGTACTTTAAAACTTGAATTGATTAGTAATGATAATGAACCTTGCAGAGCCGAGAAGAATGTAGCAATCAGAGATTTAGCAGAATTGTAAACAAAACTGTATTAATGAAGTTAGTTGAACTTTTCTGATATATTTTGTCTAAACATAAACTGGGTGATGGAAGCCATCTTATCTAAATAAAATTATGTTGATGTAAGCAGCTGAATACAGACTAAATTGGCATTATGTTTAATGAAAGCAAATGAGTGTAAAAACATCACAATTAAATGGGAATGTTACCTGTAGAAAAGGCTTAGTTGAGCTGACTCCACATGGTGTACCAGAAAACAAGGCAAGTGATGTACTACTTGAGATAAAGAGCCTATAAAGCATTCACACAGAACAATATCAATGTTGCACAGCGTTTGACCTAGATTCCACCAAGTTCTGCAGGCAAGTGAACAATGTCACAGTGTAAGAGGTTATCTTCACTGTTGGGCAATCTGGCCCCCAACTGAAGTTGGCGATGTTTCTTATTTACTTTTTGTTACAAGTCCTATTCCGCTAGGCCATTTTCGGAGCGTACAGTGATCAAGGCAAGTTGTCACAGCAAGTATCCTTGTTGTTGGGCCAAGTTGCCCCCAACTTAATGTTGGTGACTAACATTATCATGTAATTTTGTTAGAATACTCTGGACACAGCTATTGAGATCAGTATTGACCGTTGAAGATTGGAGCAAATTTGTTAAAAGAATGAGATATATTGAATGAACTTGTTTATACTGGTTATGATCAGTTGCTGAGGGGGAGAATGTGTCCAGAGTAAATGTTTGTGCCTGGAAGCTATCCGACTTATGTCATGGAGAATATTGAATCAAGGCAAGTGGTCACAGCAATAGATAGTAAGATATGCTGTTGGGTCTAAGTACCCCCAACATAACCTGTTGGTGACTGATCTGACATATCATCCACATTTGTTTCACTAGATTAGATACATGCTAGTGGTCACAGCAAGTCAAGCTGTTGGGCTGAGGCCCCCAACATTATGTTGGTGACTGCCATGATTTCATCAGATTTATTACCTTGTGTTGTTTAATGGTCACAGCAAGTAGGCTTGCTGTTGGGTTTTGTGCCCCCAACATTGTTGGCGACTAGAATTATGACAAATGGGTTTTCATTTCACTGTTGCATGGTTTCAATCATTAGATGTGTGCTTAAGTTGAATATTTTGAAACTCCAGTTTGTCAGGCAATTTGGTATCTATGTATTTAACTCTGCTCTACATATAGGATAGACATTGATAAAGATGATATCAAAAACCATCTCTGAATCAAATGTTAGATAGATTATATTTGATTTCTAATTGTAATAAGCCTTTTGTTATACCAAGTGATGTGTTTATTTTTAGTTAAACCAGGCATTTCATCAGGTATTTCATCAACTGTCAAACAAACTTATTTTGTAAATGAAAAGTTTCAATTACAGTAGATTTTGTAGAAAGATTTGAGTATTGGAGTACAAAGCTGAGTTCTGCAATACCTTGCTTGTGCATTGCTGTATGATAATGTCATTATTTTCTCTGTGCAGCCAAGAAGCAGACAAGCTCTAGGGTGTTAATCTGGACTGGTGAGCTCTTCACCGGTAGGTACACCATAGACATACAACTAGTACTTATATAGAAAGATGTTTTACACACGCCAATTTGTCTTCATAACTAGGATTGAAAATTTCATATTGAATGTACAGGGAAACATTTAATTAGGATATCTGTCATGGTTTGGAACTATTTCAAAGGGAAATGATTGTGTAGGGGAATATCCAAATACAAATTAGTAACTACAATGTGTATAGAGAAAAAAACAGATATTAATGAGGTTTCATCATATTTGTGATATTACAAAACATGCTGATTTGACAAAAATAATACCCATACATCATGTTGCAACACAACAAGTAATATCTTGTATCGTAATCCAGATTTTGTGTCTAGATATTGATACACATTAAGGTAGTTAGAGAAGATGTAAGCTGTTGATGCAAAATGTTGGTTTTCTGATTTTGGCAATTCTGTAATATTTTATGACACGATTAGTTGGCAATGTGTCCCATTTATTGTTTTTTTCTTTTCCTATTGCACCTTGTTCTGTTTTGATTCCATATGGTACAAAGTGAGGAAGAAGGCATAAGATATATACAGAAAACCTAAATAGCTTATTTTACCTGCCACAAATATTAATTTTTCTATTGAGAATCTTAACTTCATCTCAACACAGTGACGGTGTGCCAATTTTGTCCAGATTCATTCCATAATTGGAGCACTGATCATCTCCAATCGGTCAAGATTAGAAGGTAAGGGCTCCACGACTACAGTTGTATATAGGTGTATATAGTCAACAAATGTACACATTTTCATGATATCATTTTATTATGTTCTTACAATATAATCTTAGCCATAGAAGATTTGAATATAATGAAACTGAACTGTTGCATCATTTGGAGAGGACACTGGTTTAAGTGTTGTTCAAGATCTGGGGAATGTTCACAAGACGGAAAAAGACAACAAGTGTGTTTGGAGGAGAGTCCTCTGAAAGTCGGGGCCTTGTGTGCTGTGGGAGGTTTTTGTTTTCTTGTAGATGCAATATTGACTTTTGAACAAGGAGAAAGTGCATTTTGCTTATTTTTTTAAAAATTGACATACACAGTTCAAGGGATTTACAGATGTTCGTATCACTGTGAAGTTGTATTGTACGATAGGTTTGTTTACATTATATCCTAATTGCATGTACACTTCTTCATAGATATAAATTACCAGTAATGTAATGAGTATTCTCATAACAGCGACAATATCTCATTTGTACAAGATCTATATCGCAATAAGATACACTGTGTTTGTAATAAATTGTTTTAACAGGTCATATGTATATTAAGATTAGAATGTATCAAAAATAACTTCTTAAAAAATTGTAAATGAAAATTAATCTTTTAAAAGGATATGTACAAAATAAATTTTTATGAAATTTGTATGTATTTTTCTTTTCTCCATTTAATAAGTACTTCTAAAAAAGTGTAAAATGAATTTACTGCAAAGGTGTTTTTTTAGTTCCATATGTCTCTGAGGTTCCTTTCGGAGGACTCGCATTATTTACTAAAAATTCATATTTCATAAAATTTCAACAATTATAAAATACATGCATTTTGATATCACTAGTTAAAAAATAAACCTTTACAGTAAATCAATTTTACATAATTTCATGGCAGGTTTAATTGAATTATATCATATTCAGCTGGAAATCTGAAACAGCTATATAATGTAGTTCATGAGAAAAGGCCACCTGGTTTTTTCTGATCAATCACAAAATTGAACATATGCTACTACAGACCAGGAAAAATCTGCAAATTGAAAAAGATCTGCCAAAATTGCAAGCACTTCTTGAGAAACAACAATAACAAATTTAAACTATCAAAATCCAAGATGGCTGGCTAGTTTTTCAAAATGAAACATGCTGAACTACAAACTAAGTGAAACCTTTGAGAAAGAGCTGTCAAAGACACCTTGAGAAATGTCAAAATTCAAGATGTTTGGCAGGTGGCCATCTTGTTTTCCCGATCAGTCTTGAAATGAAACTTGCACAATAAGGACCAAGTGGAACCTTGCATATGAATTCTGACAAAGATCGGTACTTATTTAGAAATAGTGATAACAAGAATTGTTTAAGAATGAATGACAGATGAAAGTGGTCTGAATAACCATTTTGACATTTCTTGGAGCTTGACTTGGCTTCCAAACAGCGAGCTTGACTTGGCTTCCAAACTGCAACTTCAAGTTAATCAACATAGTCAAGACAACATCAGCTCAATCATTTTGCCAGAAAATATTGTCTAAGGAACCAATGGATGTCGATAAAAACTACTGTTGAACAATATGTTAAAGACATTACGAATAGGTGAATTCTCATCAATTGGCACACAATCAAACACACACTACCTGAACTAGAAAATGAGTGTAAGACATAAATTTGTTGTAATTTTTAGACAAATTTCTATAAATAAGAAAATGATGCAAAAAAAGTCCATTGAAGTTTTCCGAATTAAATGTCAATTGAAGTATTTTTACACTTGACTGCTATACTTTTAGATAAGAAGTTACTGGAGTTAATGTCCGATTCAATGACAGATTTCTAGAAATAATTTCATTGACTTTGTTCTGGATCCTTAAACATGAAATCATGAAAGTATTCTTCGTATACAGTAAGGTTTGATAAAGATTGGTTACGAAATGAAGTTGCGAGATCGATAGTGAATTGGGATGTGACCTGATGCAACTTCAGCAAAGAACAGGATGGGACTAACATGCATAACACCATATTTAAATCCGATGAAATGGAGAGGGTTTTTCTAAAAAAAAAAAATCACCAAAATAAAACAAGGTCATGAAGTTATGAAAATCTTAAATATACATCTTGGCATCGTGGGAAACCTATGTTCGATTGCACTAGCGGTTATCGATAAATGCTAGTACAATTGCACATGGGTTTCCGATGATGACATCTTGGTATTTCGATTGGCCTTGGGAGCTTGTATTCGTTGTCACTGAAGGGCCAATGAGCATATGTGCTATGGTGTAGCATCTGGCATCCGGTGGTCCTTTGTCAACTTTTGAATTATAACAACTTCTATTAATATTTAAGGTCACACATATGTATAAACCTTTAATTGACCTTTTATCAGTGAACACAAGGAAAGGAGCATGATATTTGGCCAGTAGAATGCTTTGATGAAGGACTACCAAGTTTGTTCAACTAAATGACATTATACTTTCAGGGTTACAAAGGTCAAATCTTTGAACACATTCTTTTGGATGACCAGGAGTCATAGGTAATGATAATGAGTCTAGCTTTGATTAGTCAATTTAAATATTTTTGAACTTTGTCCACTTTTATGATTACAAGTGTGAGATAAATACCAGGCGAGCATGACCATTGGGCCTCTTGTTTTGAGTATTATGTTCAGGAGAGAAACTAACAAAAGAAAGTCGGAAGAATTCATTTCATGTATTAACAATTTATTTGTAATGAATAATTAAAAATGGACAAAATTACCAACATATACACTTCTGCATAACAAATTGGATAACAGTAGGAATTTAAAGTTCAGCTTTATTGTTTTTAAATTTGGTAAAGCTTGCAGCTTACAATGTTTAAACATTTTTTTTATATTAATAACTGCAAATAAATCGAACAACAGCCTGGCAGATGTAAACTAAATATTTATATACCTTGACATCATTTAAGTGATGTTCCCCAAGTACTTGAGACATCAAAATATTTGTAACGTCAATATATTTTACAAATATATATCAATATATTCAAACAGTTGCCTGGTATACTTCCATTGCAAAATGCACAGAATAGAATACCATATCCGTGGTATTGCATATTATACAAATATGTTCAGTTAAATACAAAATGTATTACAATATTTATGCCACCAATACCTTGATTATATCACTATAACATTGTATAACATTACTAAAGTGGATAATTACCTAAAGTTTAATACTACATTTTTTTATAACACTTATATACATATTGTAATAGGGATATAATCATGGTATAACACTATTACAATTTATAGCTTCTACCTAGCAGCACATTTGAAAATATTCCATTGTATTAAAAATTCCCCATCTTGGTAACAAAGCATAATACATATATACCAGCATATATATATATATATATTCTCCTTTCAAAGGCACATTCTGCTAATCTCAACTGAAACATAATAGATATTCATTTTTTTCATAAATAAAAATAAATAAATTAACACACTTATAAATGTTAAGTTTGAAAGTATGTAAAACTTTGTGCACTCCCACCTTATCAAGCCATGACTAATATCTTGGATTTCAGAATATGGGTAGTAAGGCGTTGGACATTTAATAAATTTGGTAATCTGACAATTTCAATGTTATGACCCAGGGACTAAGTTCCTAGGTGCAGGGCCAATCCTACTTGCATGATTTTAGTCTTCAAGCCCAGTACCCAGTAATTGTATATACTAAGGAGTTGGGATCAATGATTATTTTCATGTAATGAACCAGGACTGGGGCTGACCAATAGGGTCAGTCCTGGTAACATGACTGTGTTTGTATCTGCATCCCAGAAAGCAGGTATGTATTATGGTTATATGTTGGAGATCCCGGCCATTTCGAAGTCCCTTAGATCAATCTGTATAATCTCAGTGTAACCATTAAGTATAACAGTATATGGCTACCCAGTATAAGATGGGGAACTCGATCATTTCCAAGTTATGAACCAACAAGAGGCCCAATGGGCCTGCATTGCTCACCTGGTATTAATCTCACACTTGTAATCTTAAAAGTGGACTAAAATACAGCTACAGGCAGAATATCAGTGTTTGACTCATAAGAACCTATTAAAAGATTTGTAAATATGACGCCTGTGACCTTGAATGTCGAACAAGGACATCAGGTTGAAAGTGGATCAAGGCCATTCATTTGAACAAACTTGGTAGTCCTTCATCCCAGCATGCTACAGGCCTAATTTCAGTACCCTGGGCCTTTTGGTTATTGAGAAGAAGTTGTTTGAAGATTTTAAGACATCTGACCCCAGTGACCTTGAAAGAGGGTCAAGATCATACATTTTAACAAACTTGGTAGCCCAGCATGCTACAGGCCCAATATCAGTACCCTGGGCCTTTTGGTTATTGAGAAGAAGTTGTTTGAAGATTTTAAGACATCTGACCCCAGTGACCTTGAAAGAGGGTCAAGTTCATTCATTTGAACAAACTTGGTAGCCCTTCATCCCAGCATGCTACAGGCCTAATATCAGTACCCTGGGCCTTTTGGTTATTGAGAAGAAGTTGTTTAAAGTAAAAAGTTGACGCCGGACAGACGGACGCCGCACCATGGCATAAGCTCACTTGCCCTTCGGTCAGGTGAGCTAATAAACCATTTGTCCTTGAATGTATGTAATGTTCACTTGTGAGGGAACTTTATAGCAATACACCCCAGATACCCTCTGCCTAAAATATCATAAACAACATTTTATCTCTATGACCTAGTAAGTAAATCAAGTTTACTTATATGAGAGCTTTATATTACTCGTCCAAGGTACCTACTGAAGAAAGAAGAATTTTAAGACTTAAGCTGTTCAAATAAAAAAAAATGACAGCTATACAGGGCACCACCAAATTCCCAGGCATTTTGTGCGAGGTGAGGTACAAATTTATTCTTAATATAAAACATTTATACATTTTTGCTCTTGTATGATTTAGGTAAACATAATAATTGACAAACCTGGAGCAGAAAAGTCTACAGATATCACAGTAATGCAAACAATTAGTGCGAGTATTTCAGGATAGAGTTTGTGATTAATTTAACAAAGTTTGAATCGGAATTCAATTTTCATTCTCATCATCAAATTTCATATGTCAAGAATTTGTGTTGCCAACTCAATTTTTGACACTGTAAGGGTTTATTTTCATGGTTTTAGTTTTCACAAAATAAGTCGCAAAATTAATAACATTAATCCATCCTTACGTTTGAAATTTTTGCCAATTATTAGCCACTGCACTAGACCTAAAATTTGCAAAATAAAAATCTTCTGAAATTGACCATTAAAATTACAGACCACAATAAGAAAAAGGGAACTTGACAGTAGTTATGTAGTCGGGTCTTCTGTAGGCAATTTTCAATTCACAGTCATAATGTTGCGACAAGCTTTATAAAAGCATTTAAATGTGAGGTTAAGTTTATCACACTTTCTTTATCCAGTGAAGAATCCATGCCTCTAGATCCAGAAACAGCCCCTGATAGGGATTAGGATGGACAGGTGTTGATATCACTCTCTTGACCATAGCCAACACTGTATTTCCATTGTCCTGGGGAGCCTGTTGCAGAAAAAAACCTCATTATTTTATCATTTACCTTTTCTTCAATCTTTTATCCCATAGTTAGTGTATTAAATTAAGCATTTTTGAAGCAGCAGCAGAACATAATCCAGATTTTTTATGCAAGAAGTAGGAATACAGGTATTGTCTGCAATGTGGTAGGACCATGACTACGATGAGGTAGGACCATGACTACGATGTGGTAGGACCATGACTACAATGTGGTAGGACCATGACTACAATATGGTAGGACCATGACTAAAATGAGGGAGGACCATGAATACAATGTGGTAGGACCATGTCTTCAATGTGGTAGGGCCATGACTACGATGAGGCAGGACCATGACTACAATATGGTAGGACCATGACTAAAATGAGGGAGGACCATGACTGCAATGAGGTAGGATCATGACTACAATGGTGTAGGACCATGACTACATTGAGGTAGGACCATGACCACAATGTGGTAGGACCATGTCTACGGTGAGGGAGGACCATGACTACAATTTGGTAGGACCATGACTAAAATGAGGGAGGACCATGAATACAATGTGGTAGAACCATGACTACAATGGGGTAGGACCATGACTACGATGTGGCAGGACCATGACTACAATGGGGTAGGACCATGTCTACGGTGAGGGAGGACCATGACTGCAATGAGGTAGGATCATGACTACAATGTGGTAGGAACATGACTACAATGTGGTAGGACCATGATTACAATGAGGTAGGACCATGAATACAATGTGGTAGAACCATGACTACAATGGGGTAGGACCATGTCTACAACGTGGTAGGACCATGTCTTCAATGTGGTAGGACCATGCCTACGATGAGGTAGGACATGACTACGATGTGGTAGGGCCATGACTACAATGAGGGAGGACCATGAATACAATGTGGTAGGACCATGCCTACAATGAGGTAGGACCATGAATACAATGTGGTAGAACCATGACTACAATGGGGTAGGACCATGACTACGACGCCGTAGGACCATGACTACATTGAGGTAGGACCATGACTGCAATGAGGTAGGATCATGACTACAATGGTGTAGGACCATGACTACAATATGGTAGGACCATGACTACGATGAGGCAGGACCATGACTACAATATGGTAGGACCATGACTAAAATGAGGGAGGACCATGACTACGATGATGTAGGACCAATACAATGAGGTAGGACCATGATTACAATGTGGTAGGATCATGACTACAATGTGGTAGGACCATGACTACAATGTGGTAGGACCATGTCTACAATGCGGTATAACCATGTCTACAATGAGGTAGGACCATGACTACAATGTGGTAGGACCATGACTACAATGTGGTAGGACCATGACTACAATGAGGTAGGACCATGACTACAATGCAGTATAACCATGTCTACAATGAGGTAGGACCATGACTACGATGAGGTAGGACCATGCCTACAATGAGGTAGGACCATGACTACAATGTGGTAGGACCATGTCTAGACCATGACTACAATGTGGTAGGAACATGACTACAATGAGGTAGGACCGTGACTACGATGAGGTAGGACCATGGCTACAATGAGGTAGGACCATGACAACGATGAGGTAGGACCATGACTACAACGTGGTAGGACCATGACTACAATGTGGTAGGACCATGACTACGATGAGGTAGGACCATGACTACAATGAGGTAGGACCAAGTCTACAATGAGGTAGGACCATGTCTACAATGAAGTAGGACCATGACTACAATGCGGTATAACCATGTCTACAATGAGGTAGGACCATGACTACGATGAGGTAGGACCATGACTACGATGAGGTATAACCATGACTACAATCCTTTCCTTGTGAAAGTGTTGATTCCTCATGGCTAAGCACACTATTACTAAAGTTTGGTTGAAATCTGGCCAGTAGTTAGGGAGGGGAGTTGATGTCATTTTAAGCAAATCGTCCAATTTCAGACCTTTTTATCTTGCCTTCGAGTCACTAGGAGGGTCAGCCACTTTATCTGACAGGTGTAATGTTTGATCCCCAATGCCTACAGATAGTAACAGCAATATTTGATTGACTTCTGCTCTACAGATTTGGTGGAAATGGCATAAACACAAAGCTCTGACCCTTTACTTGTTTAACATTTAATCCTCAAGGCCAAAGGACACCCTAACCTTTTTTCTTTTTTTTTAATTTTTCCTGTATCAATCATTTTACACAGTCATAATCATATACATTTTGCATACATTAACCATACATATACTTGCATTATTTTCCATAAGTAATAGTTGTTACACAAAAATATGCATGTTTATGTACTTTATTGTTATATGTGTTCAAGAGTTGAGACAAATAAAAAAATATTCAAGGATATACTTGACACTTTCCCATTTCTGCCTGGTCTTTCTTGCTGCATTCAGGGTCAATATATAAGCTGAATACAGATCTAAATTTCTATAGTTTCTCATAATTGTTTTTACAAGTTTCCCACTCGGGTAATAGTTTGTACTGTCTTCTTAATGATATATATTTCTTAATCAATAATATTAAAAGGTTAATTCCAAGTGATTTAACATCTTATTTAACAAATAGGAAAATGTCAGGTTTTTTTCTTTAACAAGAATTCCACAGAAGTGGATGTGTCGCCTGCACAGGAAAGCTGGGAGATTGTGCTCAGCACTGCATTAAGTTTGAGTTTGATCGGCCCAAGGAAACTCAAGTTATCGCACGAAAACCGATTTTCTATTTCAAGTATTAGTGACCTTGACCTTTGGTCTTCGGACCTGAAAAGCAATCACAAGCAAGCACTTTTGGTAAGGAAGCCCTTCATGAAGTTTGAGTTTGATCGGCCCAAGGAAACTCAAGTTATCGCACGAAAACAGATTTTCTATTTCAAGTATTAGTGACCTTGACCTTTGGACCTGAAAAGCAATCCCAAGCAAGCACTTTTGGTAAGGAAGCACTTCATGAAGTTTGAGTTTGATCGGCCCAAGGAAACTCAAGTAATCGCACGAAAACCTCTGTGCGGACGACGACGTCGCCGCCGAGGCAATACCCATGTGTCACCAGCTTTTCGCAGGCGACAACAATATCATACTGATTTAAGACTGAGTTGATCAGAAATGTCCTCAAAGACAGCATGGCTATGTACACAGTCCCAGAAAGGGTGGTATATTGTTTCTGATGCTCCACTACAGAAACTGTATTCACCGCTCTCTAGCAGCTTTTGTTTTAACAACATAAAGTTGGTGAAAAAGATTCTGTGAATGATTCTATATTGCAGACTTTGCAATTTTGAATCGTTTGTCTCAATAAATGGTAAAGTTTATACCTGCTCCCATTTATTATTATTTAGAGAAATGTCTTATACAACATGGCACCTTTCCAAGTCCTTAATGTAGAAAATCACTGGATTTGCTATTAATGTAGACACAATTTTCCTGTAGAAAAACCGAGAAGGTTTTCGCTATTTCTGAGCTGTTTCAGATTTTCATGTATAATTGTTTCAATATTTTCCCCATATTAGTGAATTACTCTCTTCCAGGCTCTAGGTATAGCGCTAATAAGGCTATTGTAATTCATAAAGTTAAAAGTGATTTGATAAGTTTTAAAGGTTTACTGGAAGAAAAAATATCTGGACATTTTAGACCTCCATCCTTATAATCGCCTATTAAAAGATTCCTTTTCAGCTTGTCAACTTTGCGTTTCCAGATAAGATTATAAAATAGAGGCTGAAATTTTTTAATGACTTAGACTCTGGACAAGCAAGGACTGTTTAAACTTGAACTATGATTGGAAAGGCTAAAGTTTTAATCACAGTTACCTTACCTATAATTGAAAGGTTCCTAAATGACCAGTTAGAGAGAAGTGCTTCAACTGATTGAAACTTTTTCTATAAAGTTGTCTTCAAAACAGTCTTCTTTTGATAAATCATAGGAAATTCCCCTAAACGTTTAAATTTGCCATGGTGGTTCCATGCTATTCTGTCTTGTTTCAATTTCCTCACCACAGCCCCTTTTTGCCCCAATCCATACAGCTTGGTTTTTTTCAAAGTTTGTTTTTAAACCGGAACATCCTTCAAAGATGTCAATCAAGTACAGACCCCTCTCTAATGATTGCTTGTTATCATCCAATATAAGCGTTGAGTCATCAGCGTATTGACTAACATTTAACTCAGTGTTATTTATTACTATCCCTTTTATATTAGGGTCAAACTTTAAAGCAGAGCTCAGAAGTTCAATACATATAAAAATATACGGAGAAAGGGGGTCCCCTTGCCGTACACCACGGGTTACATTGAAAAAATTGGTTGGGTGACCATTGTTCCCGACAACTGCCATAACATTGGAGTATAACGTTTTGAAGCAGTTTATGATAAAATTGCTAAACCCAAAGAAAGATAGATTTCTTCCAATGAATGGCCACTCAAGGGAATCAAAAGCTTTCCCGAAGTCCAACATTAATAAAATACCAGGCGAGTTTTGGCATCAGATTTTGTTATAATATCATTTATAATTCTTGTACAAAAAACCTGCTTGACTTTGACTTATAATATCTGCAGCAATTTTATAATCGACATTCAATAAAGTAATTGGTTTCCAGTTTTTTAAATAGTTTTGATTTCCCTTGTTTTGGTATACATTTTATGATCCCTTGACATTTACTAATAGACAACTGTTCATCAGTGAATGACTGATTTATAGATTTTACAAGGAAATAATGTCTACCCAGAAAAATTTGTAAAACTCCACTGTAAATCCATCAAGACCCGGAGATATACCATTACTCATATGCTTCAAAGCTTTTAAACATTCTTCACCCCTTAGGGCACCATTCATAGAAATACTTTGCTCAGGTGGAAAAAGTTTCCTGGTGAACTACATTCAATACAGTACTCTTTGTATTATATAAGTTTGAATAGAAGAGGGATTATTTGTTCATTTAAGATGTCATTTAGATCACTTATCCCTTTTCCTTCTTCTGTTATTAACCTCGGTATCATCTCTTCTGTGTATTGTCACTTTTCTAAATTACAAAAATATTTTGTACTTTTCTCACCCTCCACCTTCCACCTTATTAGTATTATTATCTATTCTATATTGTGAAATTACATCACTTATAGTTAGCTTTACAAGATTTACATATTCTAGGTCACCTAACAAACTATTATTAAATTTACTAACACCCTAACTTGGTTGAATGGGTTTTGAGGAAATGTCATAAATGCAAAGCTGACAGATGATGGAAGGCTGCCTGATATAATTGTAAACAGTGGTAATAAATAGGGCACCACACAAACATATTTACCATGTGTCCCGCTCCCAGAATCCAGTACACGGAGAAGTTTTTGTAAGTTTTCACGAACCCTGAGGTGAGGTTAGTCACAGGATCTGGTATACTTGTTCTCTTGGCAGTAAGAAATTTGGGATAGACATCCAGACTTTCGATCCATTTCTCTGTTCCTGAAGTTAAAATTTTAAAGAATTCTTAAAATTTCTTGCGCTTAGCATTGATTTCATTTTTTTTTCTTTTCTTTATTTAAAATGATGTTTTCTTGAAAGTTACAGATCTTTGTCTCTTCAGGAGTTCAAGAGGCCACTCCTTTCCGAGACTGCCATGACACTAATACATATCATCACAATCTCTGATTTATTTATTACCAAACTGACCATCTATTTACCCAACCTACCTGATTTGGCTGAGTTAGGTTTCATTGACTCTCACCTGGGGTACAGCAGATCAGGTCCAACTGTCCAGTATACACAACCACATGCAGGGGTGTCTTCTCAATTAAGTTATTGACTGCAAGGGAAATAGAATGGCCAGATCAATTACATTTACCACAGATCCTTGTTAACTGTAGCTACTGATATTGGGACCTGATGAGCAAACACCATCCTCAATATCTAGGGGTAACACTCACTTTCGTTCTCTACACCCCTGGAATTTGTCATAGCAAAAATGAAGGCACACGGCTAGCTATTTGATTAGTGTCAGGTCTTAGTCTACTCAAGTAACCTAGGGGTGAAAGAGTGAATTGTCTCATTTATCTAAAGATTATGCAATGACATCAATTGTAGCATCTAAACAATAACCTTCCATCCATAACAGTAATACTAAATTAATCCTCTCAATATCACAGACTTGATACTTTTTTTTTTTACTCCTCTATATTTTTGAACCTGAGTTACAAGGACTGTTTCTGGTAGTTAAACTAGGTCAAACATTTGTGGTATGTAGCAGTTTAAAGTGTTGTAACTGTAGTTGATATATAGTTTAAGTGCAGATGTTGATTTCTCTAGACTTTGGAATAAGGTGATTACCAATGTCAACCACAGGTTTCATGAAGTCTGCCATCATATGCTGAAACACTTTCTCGCTCTGACCTACAAAAACAAAAAATATATCAAGGTAGGAAAACTGAAAGTTAAGTTATAACAAAGAGGCCCAGAGGGCCTGTATTGCTCACCTTGGTAATAAAGCAACCATAGAAAATTATTCTTAATTACCTATAACAACTATATCAAAATATTGGCTCTGTCTCTCAGCAACACTCGTCCCTCATAAGGATGAATTGGGGTGGATTTTAAATATTAGCCTCAATTTCCCCTATTGGGCTGCCCCTCTGCCCCTTAAAGCAACCTCTGTTTATGCAAATTGAGTCCTCTTTGCCCAAGGATGCTCTACACAAAATTTGGTTAAAATCCCTCGAAACAAACTGAAGGAGAAGGATTTTAAACCTTTAGTTCTATGTTCCCCATACTGGACCCTTCCCCTTTGCTCACAGGGGAACCACACTCTCTGTTAAAACAAAATGGGTCCTCTTTGCCCAAAGATGCTCTGCTACAATTTTTTTTTGAAACCCCTCAAATCATACTAAAGGAGAAGCATTTTCATCATTTATTACTATGATCAACCCTCAATTTATATAAAATTTAGTCTATTTCCCCAAGGATGCTCCAGGCCAAATTTGGTTAAAATCTCTCCAATGGTACAGATGAAGAAGAATTTCAAAGATTTAAACCTAAAATTCTCCTATTTGGACCAACCCCTCTGCACCCAGAGTGGTCACACCCTCCGTTTATACAAAATGTATTCCCCTTAACCAAAGGATGCTCCAAGCCAAATTGGATTGAATCCCTCTAATGGTACAGAAGAAGAAGATTTTAAAGATTTAAACCTCAAATTCCCTATTAGGCCCCGCCCCTCTGCACTTAAAGGGGCCACACCCTCCATTTTTGCAAAATTTATTCCCCATAACCCAAGGATGATCCAGGCCAAATTTATTCAAAATCTATGAAGCTGTTCAGGAGTAGTAGCGCTTACAGGAAAAGTTGACAGACGGATGGACTGACAACAGACGCAGTCCAGGTGAGCTAGTATAAATGAAGGGCTACAATATTAGAGTCAGTGATTCCAAACTGATAGGTTTTATGTGATTATATCCAAGCTGTATGTAAACTTATATTATGTGATGTAGTGTATAACAATATCAACAGTTACCTCCCCACTGAACTTGCTGTGGGATGATGTTCAGCTTTTTTCTGATAGGTCCGTTCATCAATGCTGACAATTTGTCCGTTTGCAAAACATTCAATATTCTTGGTTCGAATACTTCTGAAATACATGTACAAGAAAAAAAAATACAAGTACCTGTTAAAATTGTTTTTAGCACAGGGTAAAAGATACATCTGCCACTGGTCTTACCATTAGTCTTGCCAAATACAAACCCTGTTGAAAGAAATTATATCAAAGGAAAGGTAGCCACAGTAAGCGTGGTGATTTCGATTGATGGTTAATTTAATTTGGACAGAGTCGTTAAAGAAATGTGGTAACTCTAAACATGTGACCACTAGGCCTAGTTAACTTACTTCCTCCAGAGTGTCTCCTTTGCAGAAGGTTACTTTCTTGTGCTTCGTCAGCCCCCCACTTCAGAATGTTGTAGAAATTAACTCCATTGGAATTCTCCAAGATGACATTTTCACATTCACTGAACTGGTCAGTTGCCTTTGTCCACTGACCAGACTGGATGTAGTCTAATGCTTGGTAAGCTGAGGCATTAATCCTGTACAGGCCTTGGTTATCTACAATTGACTGTCAACAAATGGTTGGATAGTGGAAATTCTAGCCTGTGGAAGAGTAAGTGATGTGGTTCTTCCAATGGATTGAGTGTGAACATGTTCGCCCTGTGACTAATTGCAGGGTGGAAATGTTCGCCCTGTGACTGATTGCAGGGTGGAAAGGTTCGCCCTGTGACTGATTGCAGGGTGGAAATGTTCGCCCTGTGACTGATTGCAGGGTGAAAATATTTGCCCTGTGACTGATTGCAGGGTAGAAATGTTCACCCTGTGACAAATGTGGCACCGACACCTTAATTTGATAAGATCTTGTTATTTGTGTCTTTATAAACTATTGTTAAAGTATCCAAAGTAGATACACATCACCAAATCAATATAGCTGGAGCTTTAATAGCAGAATTATTACCTCAGACTCGTGTATGTAAGTGTATAGATAGGTACACCAGACTTATGTTTGTGTATAGATAGGTACCCCAGACTTATGTTAGTGTGTAGATAGATACGCCAGACTTATGTTAGTGTGTAGAAAGGTACCCCAGACTTATGTTAGCGTGTAGATAGGTACCCCAGACTTATGCTTGTGTGTAGATAGGTACACCAGCCTTATGTTTGTGTGTAGATAGATACCAAAGAATTATGTTAGTGTGTAGATAGGTACACCAGCCTTATGATAGTGTTAAGATAGTAACACCAGACTAATGTTAGTGCGTAGATACCTCAGACTTATGTTTGTGTGTAGATAGGTACACCAGACTTATGCTAGTGTGTAGATAGGTACACCAGCCTTATGTTTGTGTGTAGATAGATACCAAAGAATTATGTTAGTGTGTAGATACCTCAGACTTATGTTTGTGTGTAGATATCCCAGACTTGTTTATGTGTAGATATACCAGACTTTTTTATGTGTAGATATCCCAGACTTATGTTATGTGTAGATATCCCAGTCGTATGTTTATGTGTCGATACCCCAGACTTGTGTTAAAGTGTAAATACCCCAGACTTTATTTTTGTGTGGGTATATTATAGATAGGTACACCAGACTTATGCTAGTGTGTAGATAGGTACACCAGCCTTATGATAGTGTTAAGATAGTAACACCAGACTTATGTCAGTGAATAGACAGGAACTCCAGACTTATGTTAGTGTTAAGATATTAACACCAGACTTATGTTAGTGTTAAGACAGTAACACCAGACTTATGTTGTTGTATAGATAGGTACACCAGACTTATGATAGTGTTAAGATAGTAACACCAGACTTATGTCAGTGAATATACAGTAACTCCAGACTTATGTTAGTGTTAAGACAGTAACACCAGACTTATGTTGGTGCATAGATAGGTACACCAGACTTATGGTAGTGTGTAGATAGGTACACCAGCCTTATGTTTGTGTGTAGATAGATACACCAGACTTATGTTTGTGAGTAGATAGATACCCAAGACTTATGTTAGCGTGTAGATAGGTACCCCAGACTTATGCTTGTGTGTAGATAGGTACACCAGCCTTATGTTTGTGTGTAGATAGATACACCAGACTTATGTTTGTGAGTAGATAGATACCCAAGACTTCTGTTAGTGTGTAGATAGGTACCCTAGACTTATGTTTGTGTATAGATAGGTACACCAGCCTTATGATAGTGTTAAGATAGTAACACCAGACTAATGTTAGTGCGTAGATACCTCAGACTTATGTTTGTGTGTAGATATCCCAGACTTGTTTATGTGTAGATATACCAGACTTTTTTATGTGTAGATATCCCAGACTTATGTTATGTGTAGATATCCCAGTCGTATGTTTATGTGTCGATACCCCAGACTTGTGTTAAAGTGTAAATACCCCAGACTTTATTTTTGTGTGGGTATATTATAGATAGGTACACCAGACTTATGTCAGTGAATAGACAGGAACTCCAGACTTATGTTAGTGTTAAGACAGTAACACCAGACTTATGTTGGTGTATAGATAGGTACACCAGCCTTATGTTTGTGTGTAGATAGGTACAACAGACTTATGTGTGTGTGTAGATAGGTACCCCAGAATTATGTTAGTGTGTAGATACCTCAGACTTATGTTTGGGTGTAGATATCCCAGACTTGTTTATGTGTAGATATACCAGACTTTTTTATGTGTAGATATCCCAGACTTATGTTATGTGTAGATATCCCAGTCGTATGTTTATGTGTCGATACCCCAGACTTGTGTTAAAGTGTAAATACCCCAGACTTTATTTTTGTGTGGGTATATTATAGATAGGTACACCAGACTTATGCTAGTGTGTAGATAGGTACACCAGCCTTATGATAGTGTTAAGATAGTAACACCAGACTTATGTTAGTGTGTAGATACCTCAGACTTATGTTTGTGTGTAGATATCCCAGACTTGTTTATGTGTAGATATACCAGACTTTTTTATGTGTAGATATCCCAGACTTATGTTATGTGTAGATATACCAGTCTTATGTTTATGTGTCGATACCCCAGACTTGTGTTAAAGTGTAAATACCCCAGACTTTATTTTTGTGTGGGTATATGCCCAATACTTACATTTGTATGTAAATAGGGACCCCAATTCAACATGGAGTCTATTGGGGAGATCCAGGAGTCTCCAAGGGCCAAACCCTTGAAATCACATGACAGTTCTTTATTTTGAATGGCCTGAAACATTAAAACATAATCTTTGACTATTTGCATTGGGTTTTGCAGGTACATGCAAAACATAATTGCCAGAGTACTTTATTACATGTACATAATTTGTTCTGTCAGATGTAAACAAATAGGACTGAATTGACCAATGTTGATTTCAAATTAAGAATCTACATGTACATGACAAAGCAAGCCTGCTTGTCCACCAGAAGTTGTTGTTTCCCTCAAGTCCCAAATTAATAAGATAATTATTTTAATTAATGAAGTTCTGTACAAAACGATAATGTTGAAAGTCCAATAAATTATTCATAAACCAACTGAGTGAAGTATCAGACTAAGAATGTTAATGCTAGAAAAGCATACGGTCTTCCCAGTTATATAAAGTGAAAACTGTCAAAACAGACCATTACAGTGATACAAACTACAGTGATGTATATATACCTGTCAAAACATTGTAACCTGTCAAAACATTGAAACCCGTCAAAATAGACCATTAACAGATCTTACTGGATATAGTGATGTATATATACCTGTCAAAACATTGTAACCTGTCAAAACATTGTAACCTGTCAAAACATTGAAACCTGTCAAAATAGACCATTAACAGATCTTACTGGATATAGGACCTCACTATTAACAGATCTTACTGGATATAGGACCTCATTATTAACAGATCTTACTGGATATAGGACCTTACTATTAACGGATCTTACTGAATATAGGACATCATTATTAACAGATCTTACTGGATATAGGACCTCACTATTAACAGATCTTACTGGATATAGGACCTCACTATTAACGGATCTTACTGAATATAGGACCTCATTATTAACAGATCTTACTGGATATAGGACCTCACTATTAACAGATCTTACTGGATATAGGACCTCACTATTAACAGATCTTACTGGATATAGGACCTCATTATTAACAGATCTTACTGGATATAGGACCTCATTATTTACATATCTTACTGGATATAGGACCTCACTACTAGCTTTCACCGGACATAGGTTTAGATTTTCTAGATTTAATAGGATATAGGACCTCAACTTGGTTCTGTCATCTGGAAATTAAAATGCTGTAGCACAACTACATAATAAACTGATAATTCAAGTGAAGATTCAATAAAATCTGTGTGTTGGCTAAGATGGAGTTTTCCGGACAAGTTACTTCACATTAAGGTCCGTAACTCCCTTAAAAAGTATAATAATAGCACCTTACTTGATATAGGACTTGACTGATAGCAGCTGTCATCTTTCCTCCATAAGACTCACAAAATATGTAGAAGGGAGTGTGCTGAAAAACAAATTACAACAAATATTATCACATCATGATATATTGTCAGGTAAACTTCAATACATGTTGTTTAGTAAACAAATTCTGTGCATTTATCTAAACTGTATGAAGAGAAACAGAATCTCCTGGTTTACAGTACAAGAAACTGAATCACTTATCACAGCTTGTTAGAAAGTTTATGTTAAACAAAACTGAGTACCTGATACTTGATGCCCCATTTTGACTCCATGAAGAAGGACTTCAATAAGACAAGCATGTCCTCTGCTATCATGTTAACGTCGGTCGTAAGGGCATCAAGTGTGTCAACATAGCTGAAGCCAGTTCCCACAGGGTTGTCTACAAACAGGAGGCTGGCTGCTGACAGCTGGGGAAGAGAGAACATACATCAAACTATCATGTACAGGTAATCAACCAATGGTGAAGGTAGCTCAGTGAGGACAAACACTAACACATACATCAAACTATCATGTACAGGTAATCAACCAATGGTGAAGGTAGCTCAGTGAGGACAAACACTAACACATATAACAAACAGGTGATGCCAATGATCTGGGCACCTACATCAGAGGCCACATGAACAAACCAGACAGGGGATCCTTTACCTAGGCTATCCTCAGATTTGTCTGTATCACATCAATTTGTCACAATCCAATGTTAAACTGGAAAGGAATGTAAATGTTGTTCAGCAATGTTTAACATCAACTAAATATTAACTGTGGTCTTTACAACATTAACCTTTGACCACATCATCTTGACCAAATACAAACAGGTCACTTGGCTGATCCTTCTCAACACTATTACTTTATAATGATATACTGAATGGTTTACCATAAAGAAACATATACATGCATAAAACAATTGAGACCTTCACCATAGCTATGACTTTGCATCAAATATGACATCTAGTAAAAAATCCCTCACTCATTTTTAAGTTAGGTCCTTAACCTTTATGAGGTCACTCATCCCTAGCTTGTGTAAGGTCACTCATCCCTAGCTTGTGTAAGGTCTCTCATCCCTAGCTGGTGTAAGGTCACTCATCCCTAGCTTGTGTAAGGTCACTCATCCTTAGCTTGTGTAAGGTCACTCATCCCTAGCTTGTGTAAGGTCACTCATCCCTAGCTTGTGTAAGGTCACTCATCCCTAGCTTGTGTAAGGTCACTCATCCCTAGCTTGTGTAAGGTCACTCATCCCTAGCTTGTGTAAGGTCACTCATCCCTAGCTTGTGTAAGGTCACTCATCCCTAGCTTGTGTAAGGTCACTCATCCCTAGCTTGTGTAAGGTCACTCATCCCTAGCTTGTGTAAGGTCACTCATCCCTAGCTTGTGTAAGGTCACTCATCCCTAGCTTGTGTAAGGTCACTCATCCCTAGCTTGTGTAAGGTCACTCATCCCTAGCTTGTGTAAGGTCACTCATCCCTAGCTTGTGTAAGGTCACTCATCCCTAGCTTGTGTAAGGTCACTCATCCCTAGCTTGTGTAAGGTCACTCATCCCTAGCTTGTGTAAGGTCACTCATCCCTAGCTTGTGTAAGGTCACTCATCCCTAGCTTGTGTAAGGTCACTCATCCCTAGCTTGTGTAAGGTCACTCATCCCTAGCTTGTGTAAGGTCACTCATCCCTAGCTTGTGTAAGGTCACTCATCCCTAGCTTGTGTAAGGTCACTCATCCCTAGCTTGTGTAAGGTCACTCATCCCTAGCTTGTGTAAGGTCACTCATCCCTAGCTTGTGTAAGGTCACTCATCCCTAGCTTGTGTAAGGTCACTCATCCCTAGCTTGTGTAAGGTCACTCATCCCTAGCTTGTGTAAGGTCACTCATCCCTAGCTTGTGTAAGGTCTCTCATCCCTAGCTTGTGTAAGGTCACTCATCCATAGCTCGGTTAGGTCACTCATCCATAGCTTATGTAAGGTCACTCATCCCTAGGGCCTAGCTTGTGTAAGGTCTCTCATCCATAGCTCGGGTTAGGTCACTCATCCCTAGCTAGTGTAGGGTCATACATCCCTAGCTAGTGTAGGGTCATACATCCCTAGCTAGTGTAGGGCCATACATCCCTAGCTAGTGTAGGGTCATACATCCCTAGCTAGTGTGACATATTGTGAAAAAAGCACCATATACATTCCAAACTAACAAACCTGATCAAAGATATTCTTTTATCTTAGATATCCTGCTGTGTAAGGCATTACAAACCAGCTGCCATGCTAATACCTTCTATAGTATTATTAATGTCACGGTCCTTCTATAATGTATAATTTGGGGTTACTAATTACATATATATAGACATACCCATGTTGTGTTGCGAGGCTTCTGGTCAACATCCAATGGTCCTATCTCTTTAAAGTTACCGAATCCCGTAGATGATCCTCCTGGTCCACCCTTCAAACAAAAACAAACTAACAGATTGTTGCTACCATTTTATTTCTTTTATTGTTTTAATGACTTAAAAAAAAGCAAAAAATAATGTGTTCCTTCTTGTGTACCCCACAGCCTATCAAGATGGGAGTCAGAAGAATCTCCATTGAGAAATGAAAGTACTAATGACGTGTTGTCAAGAATTTGTTCATTTCTATATATATGTAAGAATATCTCACACCATTTGAAGTCAAATGCAGCAACTTTTATGGCATACGGAAAACTGGTCATTAACAGGACATCGTTAAAAGCTAAATGACATTAACAGGACATTGTTTAAAGCTTAAGGACATTAACAGGACATTGTTTAAAGATCAAGGACATTAACAGGACAATGTTTAAAGATAAAGGACATTGTTTAAAGCTAAAAGACATTAAAAGGACATTGTTAACAGCTAAAGGACAATAACAGGACATTGTTAATAGCTAAAGGACAATAACAGGACATTGATTAAAGCTTAAGGACATTAACAGAACATTGTTTAAAGCTAAAGGACAATAACAGGACATTGATTAAAGCTTAAGGACATTAACAGAACATTGTTTAAAGCTAAAGGACAATAACAGGACATTGTTAATAGCTAAAAAACATTAACAGGACATTGTTAAAAGCTAAAGGACAATAACAGGACATTGTTAATAGCTAAAAAACATTAACAGAACATTGTTTAAAGCTAAAGGACAATAACAGGACATTGATTAAAGCTTAAGGACATTAACAGGACAGGACATTGTTTAAAGCTTAAGGACATCAACAGAACATTGTTTAAAGCTAAAGGACAATAACAGGACATTGTTTAAAGATAAAGGACATTAACAGGACATTGCGTAAAGCTAAAGGACATTAGCAGGACATTGTGTAAAGCTGAAAGACATTAACAGGACATTGTTAAAAGCTAAAGGACAATAACAGGACATTGTTTAAAGCTAAAGACATTAAAAGGACATTGTTAACAGCTAAAGGACATTAACAGGACATTGTTTAAAGCTTAAGGACATTAACAGGACAGGACATTGTTTAAAGCTTAAGGACATCAACAGAACATTGTTTAAAGCTAAAGGACAATAACAGGACATTGATTAAAGCTTAAGGACATTAACAGAACATTTTTAAAAGCTAAAGGACAATAACAGGACATTGATTAAAGCTTAAGGACATTAACAGAACATTTTTAAAAGCTAAAGGACAATAACAGGACATTGATTAAAGCTTAAGGACATTAACAGAACATTTTTAAAAGCTAAAGGACAATAACAGGACATTGTTTAAAGCTTAAGGACATCAACAGAACATTGTTTAAAGCTAAAGGACATTAACAGACATTGTTTAAAGCTTAAGGACATCAACAGAACATTGTTTAAAGCTAAAGGACATTAACAGGACATTGTGTAAAGCTGAAGGACATTACCAGGACATTGTTATAAGCTAGGGGACATACATGGGAATTTGTTATAAGCTAGGGGACATTTATGGGACTTTGTTATAACCTAGGGGACATACATGGGACAATGTTATAAGCTAGGGGACATTAATGGGACTTTGTTATAACCTAGGGGTCATACATGGGACTTTGTTATAAGCCGAGGGACATACATGGGACTTAGTTATAATCTAGGGGACATACATGGGACTTTGTTTTAATCTAGAGGACATACATGGGACTTTGTTTTAATCTAGAGGACATACATGGGACTTTGTTTTAATCTAGAGGACATACATGGGCCTTTGTTATAAGCGGGGGGACATACATGGGACTTAGTTATAAGCTAGGGGACATACATGGGACTTTATTATAAGCTAGGGGACATACATGGGTCTTAATTTTAATCTAGAGGACTTCCATGGGCCTTTGTTATAAGCTGGGGGACATACATGGGACTTTGTTATAACCTCGGGGACATACTTGGGACTTAGTTATAAGTTAGGGGACATACATGGGACTTAATTTTAATCTAGAGGACATACATGGGACTTTGTTATAAGCCGAGGGACATACATGGGACTTAGTTATAATCTAGGGGACATACATGGGACTTTGTTTTAATCTAGAGGACATACATGGGACTTTGTTATAACCTAGGGGTCATACATGGGACTTTGTTATAAGCCGAGGGACATACATGGGACTTAGTTATAAGCTAGGGGACATACATGGGAATTTGTTATAAGCTAGGGGACATACATGGGACTTAGTTATAATCTAGGGGACATACATGGGACTTAATTTTAATCTAGAGGACTTCCATGGGCCTTTGTTATAAGCTGGGGGACATACATGGGACTTAGTTATAATCTAGGGGACATACATGGGACTTTATTATAAGCTAGGGGACATACATGGGTCTTAATTTTAATCTAGAGGACATACATGGGCCTTTGTTATAAGCGGGGGGACATACATGGGACTTAGTTATAATCTAGGGGACATACATGGGACTTAGTTATAATCTAGGGGACATACATGGGACTTAATTTTAATCTAGAGGACATACATGGGACTTTGTTTTAATCTAGAGGACATACATGGGACTTTGTTATAACCTCGGGGACATACTTGGGACTTAGTTATAAGTTGGGGGACATACATGGGACTTAGTTATAAGCTAGGGGACATACATGGGTCTTAATTTTAATCTAGAGGACATACATGGGCCTTTGTTATAAGCGGGGGGACATACATGGGACTTAGTTATAATCTAGGGGACATACATGGGACTTAGTTATAATCTAGGGGACATACATGGGACTTTGTTATAACCTAGGGGTCATACATGGGACTTTGTTATAACCTAGGGGACATACATGGGATTTTGTTATAACCTAGGGGACATACATGGGATTTTGTTATAAGCTAGGGGACATACATGGGAATTTGTTATAAGCTAGGGGACATTTATGGGACTTTGTTATAACCTAGGGGACATACATGGGACTTAATTTTAATCTAGAGGACATACATGGGACTTTGTTTTAATCTAGAGGACATACATGGGCCTTTGTTATAAGCGGGGGGACATACATGGGACTTAGTTATAATCTAGGGGACATACATGGGACTTTATTATAAGCTAGGGGACATACATGGGAATTTGTTATAAGCTAGGGGACATACATGGGAATTTGTTATAAGCTAGGGGACATACATGGGAATTTGTTATAAGCTAGGGGACATTAATGGGACTTTGTTATAAGCTAGGGGACATACATGGGACTTAATTTTAATCTAGAGGACATACATGGGCCTTTGTTATAAGCTGGGGGACATACATGGGACTTAGTTATAATCTAGGGGACATACATGGGACTTTGTTATAAGCTAGGGGACATACATGGGACTTAATTTTAATCTAGAGGACATACATGGGCCTTTGTTATAAGCTGGGGGACATACATGGGACTTTGTTATAAGCTAGGGGACATTAATGTGACTTTGTTATAAGCTAGGGGACATACATGGGACTTTGTTATAATGTAGGTGACATTAATGGGACTTTATTGTAAACTTTGAGACATTAAAGGGACCTTTGCTGTGTGTCTATAGATATACCTGTAACCACATGATCAGTGGTACATTAGTGCCTGGTGTTGGGGACTCGTACAGCCAGTAAAACATATGTGCCTTGTCTCGTACGTTGACATACGCCCAGTGTTCAGTCTGCTGGCCATGACACCCTGAGCCTGAAACATCGTATCACACATGTAGCTCAAATAGAAACACGAAACACTTCTGTCACATGTACTTATAAAAGCTTACACTATTCATCATTAATCTTCAACTTATTTAATAACAGAAATGTTTAAATAGCAAGTGACTGGGGTTCTTCCAGTCATGTTTCCCATTACAACGACTATGTTACCCACTATTAACTTTTGTTTCACCATAGTAACAATTTTTTACTCTTGTGTCATCTTATAACCAACTGTTTTCTTAACTACCAACATATTCAATGATAAAAGCCATTTGACATATAGGTAGTATAAAACAAAATCACAAGGTGAAACAAAAGTTAATCAAAACAAGGCTTCAGGGGATAAGATGTGAAGCTTTACTTTTGGTGCTTAGAGGCCGAGATAAAGCCTAACTGTGTGTTATAGAGGCCAGGATATAAAGCCTAACTGTGTGTTTTAGCGGACAGGATATAAAGCCTAACTGTGTGTTTTAGACGCCAGGATATAAAGCCTAACTGTGTGTTATAGGGGCCAGGATATAAAGCCTAACTGTGTGTTTTAGCGGACAGGATATAAAGCCTAACTGTGTGTTTTAGACGCCAGGATATAAAGCCTAACTGTGTGTTATAGATGACAAAATATAAAGCCTAACTGGGGTTATAGAGGCCAGGATATAAAGCCTAACTTTGTGTTTTAGAGGACGGGATATAAAGCCTAACTGTGTGTTTTAGAGGCCAGGATATAAAGCCTAACTGTGTGTTTTAGGGGACAGGATATAAAGCCTAACTGTGTGTTATAGAGGACAAAATATAAAGCCTAACTGGGGTTATAGAGGCCAGGATATAAAGCCTAACTGTGTGTTATAGCGGCCAGGATATAAAGCCTAACTGTGTGTTTTAGAGGACAGGATATGAAGCCTAACAGTGTGTTTTAGGGGACAGGATATAAAGCCTGTGTGTTATAGAGGACAGAATATAAAGCTTAACTGGGGTTATAGAGGCCAGGATATAAAGCCTAACTGTGTGTTATATAGGACAGGATATAAAGCCTAACTGTGTATTAAAGAGGCCAGGATATAAAGCCTAACTGTGTGTTTTAGGGGACAGGATATAAAGCCTAACTGCGTGTTTTAGGGGACAGGATATAAAGCCTAACTGTGTGTTATAGAGGCAAGGATATAAAGCCTAACTGTGTGTTATAGAGGACAGAATATAAAGCGTAACTGTGTGTTATAGAGGACAGAATATAAAGCGTAACTGTGTGTTATAGAGGACAGAATATAAAGCCTAACTGTGTGTTATAGAGGCCAGGATATAAAGCCTAACTGTGTGTTTTAGAGGCCAGGATATAAAGCCTAACTGTGTGTTTCAGAGGCCAGGATATAAAGCCTAACTGTGTGTTTAAGAGGCCAGGATATAAAGCCTAACTGTGTGTTTTAGGGGACAGGATATAAAGCCTAACTGTGTGTTATAGAGGCCAGGATATAAAGACTAACTGTTTATTATGGAGACCAGGACATAAAGCCTAACTGTGTGTTATAGAGGCCAGGATATAAAGCCTAACTTTGTGTTATAGAGGACAGGATATAAAGCCTAACTGTGTGTTTTAGGGGACAGGATATAAAGCCTAACTGTGTGTTTTAGAGGACAGGATATAAAGCCTTATTGCGTGTTTTAGAGGCCAGGATATAAAGCCTAACTGTGTGTTTTAGGGGACAGGATATAAAGCCTAACTGTGTGTTATAGGTGACAGGATATAAAGCCTAACTGTGTGTTTTAGGGGACAGGATGTCAAACCTTTCTGTGTCCTTTAGGGGGCAGGATGTCAAACCTTACTGTGTCCTTTGGGTGACAGGATGTCAAACCTTTCTGTGTCCTTTAGGGGACAGTATGTCAAACCTTACTGTGTCCTTTAGGAGACAGGATGTCAAACCTTACTGTGTCCTTTGGGTGACAGGATGTCAAACCTTTCTGTGTCCTTTAGGGGGCAGGATGTCAAACCTTACTGTGTCCTTTGGGTGACAGGATGTCAAACCTTTCTGTGTCCTTTAGGGGTCAGAATGTCAAACCTTACTGTGTCCTTTAGGAGACAGGATGTCAAACCTTACTGTGTCCTTTAGGGGCCAGGTTGTCAAACCTTACTGTGTCCTTTAGTGGACATCTGACATATCAGTCTAGTTCAGCTGGCTAACTGTGCTTAAGTCTGAAACATCTGACATCTCATTATAGTTCAGCTGGCTAACTGTGCTAAAGTCTGAATATCTGACATCTCAGTCTAGTTCAGCTGGCTAACTGCTAAAGTCTGAACCTAAACATCTGACTGTGTCCTTTAGGGGACAGGTTGTCAATCCTTACTGTGTCCTTTAGGGGACATCTGACATATCAGTCTAGTTCAGCTGGCTAACTGTGCTTAAGTCTGAAACATCTGACATCTCATTATAGTTCAGCTGGCTAACTGTGCTAAAGTCTGAATATCTGACATCTCAGTCTAGTTCAGCTGGCTAACTGTGCTAAAGTTTGAATATCTAACATCTCAGTATAGTTCAGCTGGCTAACTGCTAAAGTCTGAACCTAAACATCTGACTGTGTCCTTTAGGGGACAGGTTGTCAAACCTTACTGTGTCCTTTAGGGGTCAGAATGTCAAACCTTACTGTGTCCTTTAGGGGACAGGTTGTCAAACCTTACTGTGTCCTTTAGGGGACATCTGACATATCAGTCTAGTTCAGCTGGCTAACTGTGCTAAAGTCTGAAACATCTGACAGCTCAGTACAGTTCAGCTGGCTAAATGTGCTTATGTCTCTACCAAAACATCTGACATCTCATTATAGTTCAGCTGGCTAACTGTGCTAA